AAACATCCCGGAGGATGATCCGAAGACATGCCATCACAATTTTGATCCTCTGCGGAAGGGATGGCACCCCCACTTCGGTAGCCCGACGACCTGCGCGCGAAGTCGAGCACTTTACGGTAGCACAGTTTAACGAGGACCAATACCGCACACCCTCGGTCCCTACGCAGACGGATCCAAATGGTCACCCACCCGCACACTAGTCAGTGATGCTTGACTTCGGTGATCTGCTGAGAACCGTGCCTTAACGATCAGTCCACTGCGGGACCTTTTGTTAGCATTGTCAGTAAACAGTATTGTTAGCATTGTAAACATAAGTAATAAGTAATCAAATGCATTGTTTGCAAGAATCTCAAAACACAATGATGCCAAATGGCTTTAAAATACAACTGAAGCAGTGACCCGGAAATTTAGGCAGTCCCGAGCTTGCAGCGCTCCCTAATGTACAAAACACCATCCATAATCACTATCCACCGATCTCTGCTAACTTGGAAATTAGCGAGCTATAAGCTGAAAATTGCAAAAAGCTCCAAAACTGATCGCCGATAAGCAGCATCGTGATCATCAATTGTATATCAATCACCATGAGAATGGACTGTTTATTGCTTACAAATGCAACGCATGGTGTTAAAATTTCGTTTTAATTCATTATTTCACTTAATAATTCTTTATCAATTTAATGAGCAACATTAACAGTATTTATAAATACAGTTTATTGTGTAGTGTCATTTAAAAGGAGTTTTCTAACGATGGAATTAGCTTTCCAACTCGTATGCATAAAAATTGAATATACTTTTTATGCTATCAAACTTTTATAACAATTAGAAGAATGCATATTATGCACTATAATACACTTTAAAAACTATGTTATTTCATAAATTTTGTTTACTATTTGTTAAATAGTTTTGTAGCGTAGTATTTATAAATTTTAGAAATTGTTAAAACAGCAAAGTACATAGAAAAAATAGGCAATATAGAGAAACCGTAATATTAGCAGCACTTCTTTGTATATTATATTACTAATTATCTCTTCCACTAATCCATAAGCGCACTAATAGATTTGTAAAAGAATTTTTTTTTAAATGTATGGAAATCTTAAAAATTTTTATTTGAGAATTAAATTTCTTTTAGGCTAATGAATCACTAGAAGCCCGTGAAGTTCCAGTTGGTTGTGTTATGCTTTACAATAATAAAGTTATTGCTTCGTCAAGAAACAATATAAATGAGACAAAAAATGTAAGTAGGTTTGGTAGATGACAATGAAAATAGATCTTCAATGAGCTTGATAATGTGGATAGAGTTCAAAATGCTTGCTTAAAAAAATACACCTTTTTAATGTTCATCTCAAATTTAGCAACTAATCGGGGAATTTCATATTTACTTTTCTAATCACTAAACAAATTTATTACGGGTCAAAATCCCGGGCGGCTAAGTGTATTACAGATGTATCTTTTCAGGTATCTCTTTGAACAATAAACGATAAAGTTGTTCTAAAATATCTAAATTCATAAAATGCTAATTTAATATCGTTATTATAAATTTATAGGACCCATGATAACCTTGTAAAAAGAACTATTAATTTTTAATATTTCTTTAAAAAAGACTAATTCTAAAAAATGTATATTGTAAAGTTAAGAATATTGTTATGCATATTGTTAAATGTAATGTTAACTGATTAAAGCAATTGTACGACATCACATTACTAATTTATTAGCATCCCTTAGTGTTTTTCCTTTAATAAAAAAGCAGTTTTTATATGATAAGTCTCGAAAACTGAATCAACTGTCATGTCCATTTTCTTAAATAGCTATATCCATTAGAGATTAGCTTGGGCTTGCTTTTGGTGGTTAGGGCCCCGAGGAATTTTAATTTGAGCCCACGATACATAGGATTACTCAGAGTCTGAAATAAACATTGATAAAATCCAAATTTTAAGATCTCATTGCTTTGCCTTTGATGTTTAATTAAAAAAATTAGTGAATTAAAAACTTTCTTATCAACAACCAATGAAAGAAAAGCTGAGAGAAAGATTGACTAACTGAATCAAGATGACAAAAACAAAAATTTAAAAATAAAATCAAAATATCAAGCTTAATAAAAGTCACTTGACAATTAGTGCTATCTTCACATATCAAAAGCATCAAATAAAAGAAGCAAATCAGTAAAACTTTTATTCTTATGAATTTTTAAGCATAATAAGGAAATAAAACGTTTATTTAAAAGTTAATGAAAATTTTATCCTGAATGCGAGCTCGCCCGAAACTTTTCTTCAGAGAAAGAACCCACGTCTGACTCGGCCTTGGCTTCTGTGCTTAAACTGACCCTGTCTCAACTTTAATGTCCATATAGTTAAGCTGATATTCTATATAACACTAAAGACATTATTTGTATGAAAAAAGGAAATGTGGGATTCTGCTACCCGTTATTTAAACCAATTGAGTTTTATTAACTCTTTATGCTTTGTTAAAAAACAAATTGGATTTTACTCCAAACCAGTGGACTTGTCTAATATATGATGACTTTAGGAAAATTCTGTCCCAAACATGAATATAAAAAAAGCATTATTTTTTCTCAACAAAACCCTGTAGGAGATTATTGTTTATTAATCCTATATTGTTGGCCATGATGAATTTTTTTATGGAATCATAAGTATTTTTGTGTTTTTAATTAGTAATAGTGTTTGCAAATTTTTTTGAGCACCTAATTTGATTGCATGATTATATGTATACAGTATAATCTCAAAAGTCAGGAAAATCCAGATTTTAGAAATTTATAGTTTTTAAATATTTTACTTAAACCAATAGTGATAAAAAAGTTAAAAGGGTATAAAAAATGTGTTCCATTCCATCTTAAATCTATGTGTCGTATCACTTTTGTTTCAGTAGATTTTTTTATGTATTTTCATATGGTTTTTAAAGTTCTGAGAATTTTGATGTGATAGTGTTACTACTTGCAAATTTTGATTTGTGCTATTGAGTTATCACTTTTTCACACACATCTTTAAACCACAAGGTGATTCAATCAGTAGTTATTGAAACAGGTTTCTATGTTGCTTTTACTGCATCATTTATTTTTTTAAACTTTCAATTTGCTAACAATTCAATTTTGTTCAACCATTAACCAAAGTGGCAAAATTCCATTATGTTACTTTGGTATCTCATAGTTTTATCAATTGTATTTTTGGTAGTTGTTGTTGGGGTCTTTCATATAGTTTCAAACTTCTGATATTATTTATATGATATTGCGCAACATCAATTTTGAACTGCATATTTTAGCAATCCCTTTTTATTTCACTTGATTCTCAGCAATTTCATCATAAATCAAAATAATTCTATTGGTCTCTTTTTTTTCCAGTTATTTCTACAGGTTTTTACATGATTTTTAAAAACTATTAAACTACAGCACAGACATTTTTGAGGATAAAGGTGTCTTAAAAGTATAATTTACCTTTTTATCCTCATAAATTTAAAAAAAAGTAGCAATTTTTTTTTTTTTTTTTGCTGATTTCAGAAGTTCTAATTGTTGAGATTATACTGTATAAATAAACATATTTTATACTTAATTTTACATTTTATATATACTAGGCTACTCGGCATGCTGAAATCAATTGCATTGATCAAGTAATTACATGGTGCAAAGATAATAATGAAGATATGGCACAAGTTTTTAAAGATCTTCATGTTTTTGTTACTGTTGAACCTTGCATAATGTGCAGTGCTGCTTTACGTTCATTGTGTATCCTTTTTCCTTCAAGTTAATATTAAATAGTGTATTGAATAGGGATTATGAAATTTGAATGACTTTTAGATTTTTTTTTTTTTTTTTTTTGAAGATTCTAATTTATTGAAATCATTTGTCTAAATTATGCTAAAGGTTCTTTCAAAATATACAGTGGAAAGCCCCATATCCAGAATCATTGGAGCTTTGGTAAGTTTGGAAAATAGATTTTTCTGGATAATAGATCTTTTGGTAAACAAGTATTAAAATTTATTATTCAATAAAAAAGTAATGAATAGAGGATAATAATGGTTAAAGTTACTTTCATGCAACATTTTCTTATAGGTTGAATGACATTTAAAAGAAAAAATGTTTAGTATAATAAAATAAATTTAAAAAATAATAATAAAAAGTTAGCAGAGGATAATTTGAACTTTCGCTTTCATGAATAAAGATATGTTTTTTCCTTACCAAGTAAAGAATTAGCAGTAGAGATAAAAAAAAAATGGCAATAAAAATGAGCCGTTCAGAAATTCCAAAACTAAATTAATCTGATTTAATGAAAGAAAAATCTAAATCAATGAATTAAATTGAGATATTTTATTGAAAACATTTAGGATTTGAAGTTAAACAAATCTCATCCATTGATGTTCTTTTCAACCGCATAATTTATCGTAATTTATTCTTCTCATCAAAGTTTTTTTCCCTTTAACTGCTCTTGTCTCTTCAAGAGCGCTTTTCTTTTTTTTAATCTGGCGTAATGTACTATGCTGCTTTATGTTCATTGTATATCTTTTTTGGTTAAATTTAATATTAAATTACTGAGACAGAATAAATGTTTAATTGTAAGAAAAACAGCAAAAACACATTAAAAAAAATTTTTTTTTTGAAAAAGGAAAAAACCTTTTATTTTGATTGTTAAAAAGTGCCCAGGAAAACCAATGTTCGTAAATGAGACTTTGTATTGTGATTTTTTATTAAGAATAAGATACCTAGATACAAACTGATATATTCTGCATGAAAGCAATTATATTCTTTTTTAAATTAATTTCAAGACAACTGATTTGAAATAAAATTATTATAAATAAGGTTAAATGTTTATTATAAATAAATTGAAAACTTTTTCAAGAAAAATAAATTCTTTAACTTGCTCCTAGCTGTGTCCCATGTCACTTATGGCTGTGATAATGATAGATTTGGTGGATGTGGGACAGTTCTTAGCGTTCATTCTGATAAAGTTGCTTTTCAAGGAGATGTATTGAAGGTATTTTGATTTTTAAGAATATTTACTTATGTTTGTTGTCTAAACATAGTCATGGTTTAACTTTTTTAAATGGAAGTAGAAATAAAAACAGCTGAAGTACTGAGTAACTAGGAATTCATCATTCATTCCAGGACTTTATTGAATGCCATCATTCATTGAATGTCATCTCAGAGTTTCAATATTATAACTACTGAGGTTATTTTCAAAATAATTAGTAATCTTCTTTCGTTTGGTTAGTATTTTCGCTGTTGCTAATTTACTTTCCTTTTAATGCCTAAGGGTTATGTCAAAAGAAAGTTGATTTTTTAGAATTCCATTACCAAAATTAATTAGGAACATTTACTTTAATCAAGAGGAAATATATATTGCTTGTTTTCTATTATATCAATACCTCATAGGATCTCATAGTATCATTATTGTTAAGCTGTAACAATAGAATTTTTAAACCATTTTATTTAAAAAAAATATTGATTCACACATATTTTAAATTTTAGATTACTTCTGGTGAAAGAGCTGAAGAAGCTGTTAGTTTATTAAAACAGTTCTATAGAGGGGAAAATCCAAATGGTATTTATTGTTTTTATTATTTAATTTTAATCACTTTTTCAGCAGTATTAAAATGTAGAGATGTTTTTGTTTCACCGCTAAATCATAAGATTTTTTTTAAAAAGATAATATGTCATTTTGACTTTAAGAAATCCAGAAAATAGACTTTTCTTATAATAGGTTGTCAAGGTAAACAAAAACATGTGTCAGTTCAAAGTAATTAAATAAGACTAATTTTCATTAAGGTATCCAACTGGGTAAAAATTAGCAATTCTGACAAAAATTTTGATTTTTTATTATTGTTTACATTTAAACTTCTGTTCATTGACTTTCTATATCTTTTTGAATTTTTTAATTCCAATCTTTAAAATTGAAGTTATAGATGCAATCTGCTTCCGTTCCAAAATATCAATTGCATACTTTAAGTGCATTTTCAAAAAAAATTCCGATTTTTAGAAAGGTTCTTTGTGCTAACACACATTACTGAATTGAATTCTTTGAAACTTTGTAGATTTTGAACTAAAAGTTAAGGTCTAAGTGTGAATTTATTATTTTTATCATACTATAGCCGAGAATGTTAAGAATTTTTCTTTAAAAAACATTTTACTTGCTTTATTATTTACTAACATACACACTCTAGCCAATCATGGCTAGCACCCTAGCCCCGTTTTGAACCTGGTTGAATGATGCGGACAGCACCTAAGCTGGTATCGCTCTCATGACGGTATTTTTGCCAACAGCTAGGATCAAACTCACAACCCCCAGCTTTCCATTAGCAGTGTGAGTGACGCCTTAACCAAATGAACCACAGGAGTGCTTTAATTACTAACAATAATCATCATTAAAAAAATGCAAAATGTAGTCTCTCAATGAAAACTGCTTATATATAGATTAATTTTTTTTTAAACATTTACTAATTAAAATGAATTTTTTTTTATAATTTGGAAAAATTACGAATTACTATTTCACAACATTTTAAGAAGAAGAAAAAATTATACTCTATGTAAAATTCATTTTTAGCGAAATATTTTTAAAGAAACACTTTATGCCCTAAGCTTAGTATGTAACTCATTATTTTAACCAAATGTTAAATTATTTTTACAGATAAAAGTTTTATTTGTTACAATCTCATATTTTTTCATTGATTTATTACTCAACAGTGTTTTCATTACAGAAAAAAAAAGGGGGAGAATTTTTCACCTTTTCTCAAAAACTGGGTGAGATTTCAAAAAGTTAAAAAAATATTTCTTTAATTATAATACATTTCTAACATCTTCTAATTTCTAAACCATTGAATATTTTTGCTGTATCATCATATGGAAAATGTTCTATATCTACTTTTTCATCAGCTATTCTCATTAGGTTACTCAAATGCTCATCAGTCAATCTGTTACGATATTTTGTTTTAATTCGGTTTTGGGTGCTAAATGACCTTGCAACAGATGCTGAACTATTCGATATCACTATTTAAATTTGTAGCTTTGTGCACACACTTTCCTATCCTCTACATATGCCAGCATAGGCTTTTTCATTATTTCTGTTATAGAATAGTGAAGTTAGTTGAAGTTATTTCCATGTTCATACTTCTTGTTAGATCTTCCAGCATAGTTTTCACAGACTTCAACTTTTACAAATTGCTGTAAATTGCCGACAACTTATTATAAAGGACAAATTTTTTTTTTCTCAACACTTGTCGTAGCTGTTTTCATATCTTTTTAAAAATGGCGGAAGACGAATTTTTTCTCCAAAATTCGAGAGATTCGCGCATTTTAAAATTGATTAACAGAGTGCGCGAACTTCTCGCCTTAATCATTGTTTAATGCGAAAAACGAAAAAAATATGCGAGATTCTCGCGCTTTAGTGAAAACACTGCAATATATAATTATACAACAAGAGTTGGCTACATAACTATTAATATAACTATTTTATATTTCAATTTTAGTGATGAAAAATTCATGTATATTTATGTTATCTCTCTTTATAATTCAGCTCCTTTTCCCAAACTGAAAGAAAATTCTGAAAAGAAATAAATTTGAAACCATGATGTGTTGAAATAGATAAAATCTGTGTGTGTAAACATCATGTCTATGTATATATGTTTATCTTTGTAAATAAATATATCTAAGTCCCTTTCTCATTTGTGTATTTTTTTTTAAAACTTCAAATTAAAAAGGCTTGGCTTTATTAAGATTTATAATCATACAAATTGATTTAACAAAGAAGCCCATAGAATAAGTAATTCCAAGAAACTGAAGCAGTCAAATATTACTTGATCAATATTGTCTTCAAATCATTACTTCAAAAATATGCAGATAGTAATAAAAGTCAACATGTTTCAAGCACTTAAAAAAGTTTTAAAAAAAAACAGGTACAAGGAGTGTCTAAGGTAATTTTTAACTCAAAAAATGAATGTCATAGTTTTTTTTTTTTGGAAAGAAAAGCTAAAGCCTAGATATGAAAGGTTTGGCACAGTAAAATGATAAGCCGAATTTTCAAACTGTGCCGGAAAGCATTTTTGGTTTTAAAAAAAAACACCAATATTTATTTGTGGTCAAATAATGTATTTATGTATATTGAGCTATTATTTAGAGGAGATTTCTATAAAAACAAAAGTATTTATACGGAAACAATATGAAGAAACAGTTAAATGTAAAATGTCACCTTTGGAAAAAGTATGATTTATCGCTATAGTAGGTTTAAGCCCTTCATTGAAGAATTATATTAAATAAATTGAAATTCTTCTGATGAATTAAATCCTTCAGAAAGGTTTGGGCAAAGCTGAAAGAAAGGAAGAGAACAAGTAAAGCCATGATGTATAGATTGCATTTGAAAGAAATTTTGGAATCCTAAATGTTAAGAACTCGAAGATCATAGAAACCCATATGATTACCTTTTGGTTTAATACATGTGACATTTGGAATTAACTGATTAATTATTTTTATATTGTTTGCTTTTATGCTTTTTTCATTAAAACAAGTGCACATGTAATCATCATTATTGTTATGTTCTCAAATATCATTGAAATACATAGTTAAAGTTTTAAATTTTTTTTTAAATATGATCTATTACAAGTATTTTGTATTTGAACTGCTAATATCTGTTTACTTAACATAGCCTGACTTAAGTTTGTGGTATAGAGAAAGTGGGACAAAAAATGTCAAAAATGTTTTTTTTTTTTAAATGAGAATCAGTTAACAGCCTTTACTGGTTTTACCTTAGATATTCCTTTTCACACACTTTGATGAATTTTTCTGCTTTATATTAACTTCATAATTTATTTCTAAATAGCTTTATGAAAGGACGTGAAAACTGATAAAAAAATAGTTTCCAAAAAAAAAAAAAACCTCTAGTTGCCAGTTAGTTTAACATTACCATCTTGAAATAAGTTCTATCTATTTAGTGATAAATTTCAAAACCACCATGATATGTATTCTAAGAAAAGTGTAACCTTAATTAGATGGGATATTTCCATATTGGTATTTCCTTACGCCAAACTGAAATTTCTAAAGGTGCCTAATAAAATTGTAGTTCAAAAAAAAGTATTCAAAAACCTGATTTTGTGATTCAATTATATTTTAGTTCCTCACATGCCACTTCTGAGCTGTAACCAAAACTTGGTGATGATTTTGGTATAGGGACAGATCAGGTAGTCCATCTTAATTTAAGTCAACAATTATTCTTTCATTTATGACATACAATTAACAAATTTTTGAACAGAAACAAAATTCGAGTTTGATATAGAAGTGTGCTTACAAGAATAACCATAACTGCAGTTTAAAAAAAAAAAAAAAGCACACACACACATATATATTTGTTACCATTCAACAGATTTGTTTTTTCATTTTCCTGAAGTAAACTGTCTACAATAAAGAAATTGATGGTTTTAAAATTATTTTTATGAAACATAACTGAATGTCATATTATACATATATATATACACATATATATATATAATATATATACATATATATAGAATATATATACATATATATAGAATATATATACATATATATTATATATACCTTTTTTATATACCTTAACGTAAGTGAAATCTTGGAAAAGTCAAGATAATAGAATTTTAAAATATTTTTTTAATTGTTAATATAAACTACTATTACATTTAGTTTAATAGTAGTAATATTTTATAACATTATTTATGCATTTAAAATTACAACAAAATTTAAAAATAAAAACTATTATGTTCACTTGCTATATAAACAGGTCCCGTGCTAAAGACTTCAAATTCTTAGCCAAAGACAAATTTTAATTTTTATTATGAATTTTTCCCCATCTCAAATCAAAATATTAATTTACTATGAATTGAACTATTTTATAAAATACAAATCAAGAATCATTTTACAGTTGGGAAAGAGTAAATGAGCAATGAAGGAGAGAGAAGATGAAAATTATAGATGCTTTATCATCTTTGAGGAAAAGAAATAAGAATAGCTAGGGGTTACTTTTTGATAACTTAGACCTGAGCAGTAATATAAGGATAAGCCTGAAGCAAAATTTGGGAATTTTTTTAGATTCTGACTATTTTTTTTATCTGAACTTTGTGTTGCGACGTATTTATCTGAACTTTGTGTTTTTATAATGCCTGCATAATTTTTTTGTGGCTCACATTATCTGGACTTAATATAATTCTTATTAGTTATGCGACGTATATAACGGAAATAACCGTAACCATAAAAAAAGAAAAGATTTGTTCAAGAAAATTCATATTAGCGTAGATTTTAGGATCAAATGTAATTTATATTTTTCCTTTAGGTAGAAAAAAATCATTTGCCAATACCTTCACCAAAACGCAATTTGTTTTGTTGAATTTACGATTTTATCACATTTGGAGAGGTGGCGAATGTTTAGTGCGGGCCCTGCAAAAATAAATATTCAAAAATTCCTTATATTATAGTCAGGGCTGCCAACTTTCTACGTTTTTTGGAAAAATGTCTTTCAGTGGTAGCAATGTTTACATTTTAAAGCATGATATTCGTTTGATGAATTTAATTTAAAAATATTTTTCACACCACTTCAAAAGATCATATGAAACACCATTTTGTTTCAACTCTTTTGTTGTGAGGTTTTTAAAATGTTAGCAAAAGTATAAAATATTCTGAAAGCTTTAGTTTCCAGTTGTCTACCACTCACTTAATTATTTTACAAAAAACATAGTAGTAGGCAACTCTGTTTAGTACAAGTATTTAAATATATATATACAGTGAATTCGCGATAACTCGAATCTGATAGGACTGGCGAAAAAGTTCGAATTACCGTTAGTTTCGGTTTCGGACTTTCAAAATATTGTCAGATTATTTAATTAATGCTTATTACTAATTACAAATCTTCTAAATGCTTACAATATTTAAGATCATTTTTCTGACAAGCCATTTACGATAAGACTGTTTGAAGCACTTTATGATACCCTGGTCCATCGGCTGCAACTTTGCTGTTGTGTTTGGCAGGAGAAACTGCAAGTTTACTGCTTTAAAACTAGGTAGATCACTATGCGCTGTGCATTTATCCATAAAGTGTATCACTTTTCTTTTTTTAGCAAAGAATTTTCGATCCAATTTTCTTACATAGTCTTCAGATAAAACTGATGTCATCCAACACTTTTTGTTAGACTTGTAATCCAAAGGATACGTTTTTACATTTTTGAAACATCAGGGATTTCGGTATTTTCCGATAACAAGTAAGGGCAATTTCTTTGTCCCAGGCGCATTTCCTCCAACTAGGACAGTCAAACGTTCCTTGCTCATTTTACNAAGGAAAAAAAGTAGCGCATATTTAAGATTTGTAGCGTTCGAAAAATAATAAGTAGCCCAAAAAGTAGCAAGTAGCGAAAATTCAATTTTCAGTAGCGGGGACTTTTAAAAGTAGCCCAATCCGCTACTTGTAGCCCAATCTGGCAACACTGGGGGGCAGCATTAGCTTCTGAGCAGTTTTCTCCATGAAGAGTGTGTGTTGCAAAAGAAGAGGCAAGATATCAGCTTAGGTTTTTTTCCTTGCTTTAAAAGATAAAAAAAAAATCGAGTTAAAGGAGTAAAATTCGAGTAATCAAGAAAAATTAACATGAAATTGAAGATAAAGGGATCGGGACCTCATAAAAAAATCGAGTTATAGTAATATTCAAGTTATAGCGAATTGACTGTGTACATTATATATATNCATTATATATATATACTGTATGTAAGATAAATAGTATTCAGTAGCATCAAAATAAAATTACTATGAAATAATTCAGATAATTAACTAGATATTCTTACATATATTAGCAAACTGTAAGTTGAATGTTTTTAGCTTAAGGACCTTAAAGAGTTAGTTGAACAGATAGGGAAAAACATGCTGTTTAAAAAAACTTTTATCCAGAATCTATTTATCTAATATAAGTTATAATTTATTTCTCAAATATTATGAAGAATACAACATGCAGATATTGCACAAGATAAAACCTCAACATTATGAATATTTCATGTAAAAGGGCAAATCCATCTGGCTTTTGACCATTTCTGTCCTATCTCCCATACATTGACACAAAAGTATATTACTTCAAAATTTATTTCTACCCAACTACATATTTTAAAACATATGTACTACATAAAAAGATGAATTATAATTATTGCATTAATAAGAAAATACACTTAAAAATTACTAATAATTATTCAATGAATATCAAATATAAGAATTCCAGACATAGTTCTACTAGACACTCGAATGAATATTCACAGACTGCATGATGAATGTTTTCAGCTTGAGGCCATATAACAGATGAGAAAAACAAGTTGTTTAACAAAACTTTGGGTCTCTAAAATCCATTTATTTAATAAAGGGCCTTGATTCATTTCAACACAATTTCACATACATGGCATGCAAAAGTGAATTTCAATGTTTAATTTTTAAAACTTACTATATATTTTAAAAGATAAACGATGAATGGTAATGCTATTTTAATACAAAATAATTAAATTACACATAATTATTTAATGTCTAGCATTCCTAAAAAATATATTAATTCTAGACATTGTTTACTGGACTTTCGGATACATATTCACTGACTGTATGGTGAATGTTTTCAGCTTGAAAACCTATAACAGTTGAACAATAGAAGGAACAGGTTATTTAAAAAAAAAACTTTCTGTTTCTAAAATCATTTTATCTAATAAAGGGTCTTGATTTATTTAAAAAAAATGTGAACAGTACAACACGCAGCAATAGCTTTAGATAGAACTTCCAACATTGTAGATATTTTGTTTAACAAGGCAATTCTACTTAGCTTTTATTTCAGCCCAAATTCATATACATTGCATGCAAAAGTGAAATTCAATGATCAATTTTTAAAATTTGCAATATATTTCAAAAGATGAATGGTAATGCTATTACAACAGAAAAATACCAACAAGAAAAATTACATATTAACATTATGAATAATTCTTTAATGTCTAGTATTCTTAAATAAATATAAGACTTCTAGACATCGTTTACTGGACATTCGGATACATATTCACAGACTGTGTGGCGAATGGTTTCAGCCTGAGGACCTATAACAGTGGAACAAACAGAAGGAACGGGCTGTTTAAAAAAACTTTCTGTTTCTAAAATCCATTTATCTAGTATAGGCTCTTGATTTATTTCACAAAAATTGTGCAGAATACAACATGCAGCAATAGCACTAGGTAAGGTTTCAACATTGTGTATATTTCGTTTAACAAGGCAATTCCATCTAGCTTTTAACCGTTTCATTGCAATCTCACATACATTATATGCGAAGGTGAATTTCTCATTGAAAGCTTTCTCTTTATCAGATTCTGGGTCATTCAAAAACGGTTTTAATATCCAATGGGATAGCGGATAGGCTGCCCCTGCGAGAATGTATAATGGAACATCAATTACCCGAGGGTTTTGACTGTCTTCTGGGAAAAGTTTTCGATCTTGACCCCTCAACCACAGAGTTGAGTTGGTTAAAATTCTAGATTCTGGAACATTGCCTGGCCAGCCAACATTTATGTCCCAAAATTTATAGTTAGCATCAACTATACATTGCAATAACATTGAATAGTCAGAATTGCTGTTGAAATAATCAACAGCATTATGCGGTAAATGGGATATATTTAAAGGAATATGCATGCTACCGAGTACGCCAGCACACTGTGGAAATCCCCATATAGCTTGGAAATCTGAGATGTTCTTTTTAAGTTCTGTGGAAGAAGGAATTTTTAAATATTTTGGCATAAGGTGTTTTATGGCAGAACAGACATTTGTCACAATTGTTTGGATATCGATTTTCGATACTGAAAATAAACGACTTAAGTATCTGTAACTTTTACCTGATGATAAGAAAATCAGAGCTAAAGCTATTTGCTTTTCAACAGATACTTCAAATTTGCTTGATTTTTGGAGATAAGGATTTATGTGACTAACTAAAAGAGCAAAAGTTTCTTTTCTCATTCTTAAATATTTCAACCATTGGTCATCAGTAAAATTTTGAATTTTCTCCCACCATTTATTAAAGTACTTTCGATGATGTAAGAAACAACCAGTGTTGATTAGTGATTTCATAAATAAAATGCGATGTTGGTGGTATAAAGTTCGCAATTGATTATATTTTCTCAAACTTTGATAAAAGTATAAATTTCTGTTCAATGAATTACTACTTTTAGTTTTTCTTCTTTTTTTAAAATAACATGAGATTATATTATGAAGCAGGCTAATGGATCGTTCATTTAAGTTAACCATCGTTGTTTTCCAAATTTTTCAACATAAGATAATTTTTTATTGAATTAAATATCGATTATTATTCTGTTTCAATGTACAACAAAATTTGATGAAGGATTAATATAAAATGAAGTAATAATGAAGCTAGCCAATTCATTACAATCAACAACTATTCTGTTTATTTATGAATGAATCTAGTTTCAGTTTCACATAACCGAAAAACTTAGCGCTCAAATGCATCGTTTCAATTGGCAAATACTGATTTATTTTAAAAAGGAACTTCGAACTTTGAAACTACGTCATTTCTTTTATCCTTTCTCTTATAATTATCATCAGATTGTATCACATGTTTTCCATGAAAGAATTTTTATTTTGTTTTCATCCTTTTTTTGTCCGATTACATAATTAAGACTACTATAGCGATAAAATCTGGCAACCTTCTTACAACCAATGAAAGCGCATTTTTCTGAGGGCAAGTCTAGAACGTCATAACGATAACGAACAGCGTGCAGTTTGTTGTGGCGTGATTCTGTTTACATCACGTAAATGTTGATATAATCAAGTTATTTGTCGTTAAATTTTCGATTCGAGCACCTAAATAATTTTACAAAGATGAGCTCAATATTACAAACTTTAAGAAAACCTTTTGAGTATGCTTATAGTCTTTATCCTTCTAAAACGCATCAAGGTGTTTCGCCATCTCTAAGTGCTGAGAAGACCAGCGTTTTAAGTTCTATTTTGAGTCCTATTGAGACGTATGTTGTGTCGTTGCAAAGTCTTCTCATTTGGGAAAAACCTTACCTAAGCGCTGGCGCATTTGTTACTCTTAATATTTTATATTGGTAAGAATGCTTATTTTACTTTAAAAAAAAATATTGTATAATGTGTTATCTCTTGATCATTGATATACCTATGTATATTTGCATCCGAATTGAAATTTCCTTATCTTCATATTCTTGTTTACATGAAGTTGAACCACAGAATAATTAGATCAACTACTGTTAAAGATAAAAACTTATTAATCTTTAGGTACTTTTTTGAGGGGAATTTCCTAATTTTCTTTAAATGGAAATATGTGATTAGTGCCTTGATCTATATAATACTAAAATCAAAATATATTAGTTACTTCCAAAAAACATTTGTTGGTAATTATTGAAATTTGTCTTTAATACGTTACGTAATTTGTTTGTTAGTTTACCTTTGTACATTTACATCCGTATGGATATTTTCTTATCATATTCTTGTTTACATGTTGAATCAAAGTATAACATTATTAAATACTATTAAAACTTATTATTCCTAAAATGCTTATTTTTGGGGGAATTTTAGGATTTTCTTCGATTGAATAAGGAAAGAATTTATATAAATAAAGTGATTAGTGTCTTGGCCTATAAATTACTGTTTCAAAATATATTTGCTACTTTATATTAACATTCATTGATAACTACTGACATTTGTTTGTTGACTATTGATCAATAAATTCCCAGGTATGTTTACATTCGATTTAAAATATCCTTATTGCGACATACTTGTTTATACATTGCTACATCAAAGAATAATAGGATTAATTACTAATAGAAAACAAAAACTTATTATTCCTAAGGTACCTTTTTGGGGTAAATTGTAAAGTTTTCTATAATAATTGTAGTATAAAAGAAGTAATTCCAACCTTGACCTATTTTTGTTACATATATATTTGCTACTTCAAATTAACATTCATTGATAACTATTGAAATGTGCTTATTATGTTATATATTATCTATGGCTTACTAAATGTAAGTCAGTGTTGAAATTTTTTTATTGTCATATCCTTGTTTACATGCTGTTGAATTGAAGAATAATAGGATCTACTACTATTAAAAATATAAACACTTTTTAATATTAAAATGTATTTTCATTAGAGAATTTTATAATTTTCTTTAAAGAGAATTTTAAGAACAGGGTAATTATTGCATCTTGATCTGTAAATTACTTATAGTAATATATTAGGTACTTCAAATTAATATTTCTTGACAATAATTAAATTTTGTTTTTAATACATAATCTATTGATCATCAAATTGCCCACCTCAGATTAAAAGTTTTCTTTTCGTTTATGGTCTATATTTTTGTTTACATAATTTTGCTTCTTAATCGAAGCAACTGTGATTAAAAAAAAATTCTTTTAATACTAAACTATTTTTATGTGAGAGAGAGAAAATTTTAAAATTTTCTTGTCACGAAATTTATATGAATGAATAAATTAGTATCTTAATAGTTAAATAGCTTTGTTAAAATATAATATCTTCTTCAAATTAGTTGTGATTGTTTGATAAATTTTATATCTTCTATTCTAAACTTTGATAATGTATTTATTTATTATTTTTTTTATATATGTATACTGTTCTTTGATAATATATATATTTTAGGCTATATCTACTAAATGAAGTTAAGCAGTACATGTTTTTTATTTTGAAATTGTTGTTAATCAACTGTGGTTAAAAAAAAAATCTTTTAATACTAAACTTTTTTTATGAGAGAGAGAGAAAATTTTAAAATTTTCTTGTCACGAAATTTATATGAATGAATAAAATAGTATCTTAATAGTTAAATAGCTTTTTTAAAATATAATATCTTCTTCAAATTGGTTGTGATTGTTTGATAAATTTTATATCTTCTATTCTAAACTTTGATAATGTATTTATTTATTATTTTTTTTATATATGTATACTGATCTTTGATAATATATATATTTTAGGCTATATCTACTAAATGAAGTTAAGCAGTACATGTTTTTTATTTTGAAATTGTTGTTAATCAATGTTACTTTGTTAGGTAATGTGTTTTTGTAATGCTTTCTGTGTTTAATCTATGGATGGTGTCTTCTACACTAGGGAATGTTGAAAGCTACATACCGTTTATACTTCCGGGTTACTGTCTCCAGTGTATTTTAAAGCCATTTTTGGCTCACCACGTGATCATTGTGTTTTGAGATTCTTGCGAACATGGTATTTGATTACTTATTACTTGTGTTTACAATGCTAAAGGTGCTAACACTAACACTAATGTAAGATGGTGCACAGCTTGCAACAAACAGTAAGAAACAGATGGAAGGAGGCCAAATCAGGACTGCCAAAAAAGCGAGTTATTCAAAATCTGGCAACCATGTCACCATTTTTAACAATATATCTATAAATAACTATGGCAAATTTGAGCTAATTATCTAATTTACTTCTTTTATTGTAAATAAAATTATCCATTTGAAAATATCCCCTCGGAGAATAGGCTGTTGTAAGCAGTCGCAAACTTTCTGTAACTGGAGCAGGTATTGAGATTGTTATTGTTTACATTTATATTAAAAACACCGTCCATTTAATCAAAGTATTGATGGTAAATTAACAGTTATGTAGGTAAGCAGGAGTTTAAAAACACATTTGTTTTGGGCTTATTGATTTCTAGGTGGGTATTAAAAAATATATTAGGCAACGGTTCCTATATTAGTGCATTAGGTATCTATTATCACTTATTACCACTATTTTTAAGTTAGAATAAGCGTCAATAATAGTTGAGTGCATTGTTTTTAAATGTTTAGCTATGGATATGTAGGGAGGAATTTAAAAATACATTTGTTTTTGTACTTATTGATTTCAAAGTCTCCTGTAAAAAAAATAAGGTACTCTTCCGTTAAAAGACTTAGCATAGTTAAATTTTTTTCACCAAATCAAGCACCAAACATGATGATCAATCAATATTTTATTATTATAAATTATTCGATTAATCTAGTGTTGTTGTCTACATTGATGTTTTTTAGATATCTATTATCACAACATCCATTATCATTAAGTATTAAGGCATAATTAGTGTCTATAAATAGTGAATCATTACATCTTTCTGAAATGAATAAATAACCTTTTTTTTTAGTGTAAATCTTCTATGTAGATTAAAGCATTCACTATCGTCTAAGTTCACATTCACAATAAAGAAATTTTTAAAAAATCTTAAATTATGAGGAAAAAAAAGACATTAACATATCTTAATGAGGATGGATGTTGTGATAATAGATATCTAAAAATAATAGATATCTTAATATTTTTGTGCTCTTTAACGTTGTCTACCTTAGTTTGTAACATATCTCATATTTAAAATGCATTATTTTTGCATAGATTGTTTAAAATTAAGCATGTCTCCACCAACTATTCATCCAAACGTTTTCAAATTTGTGCTTTAGAAAAATTATCTTAATGTGTTGCTAGAAAAGTATCACCATTTTTAGTGAACATCCATTTAGTAATAACTATGGAAATGAATTTCTTAATCTTATAAAATATATATTGTTTTCCTGTAATATTAAAATTTTTATAGTTAAGTAACTTTTCAACTATCTAGATTGTTTGCTTTGTATTTTTTTTTAATCTAATGTCTAATCTTCGGTCTAATTATTATTTATACAAAATTCTAGAAAGATAAAATACTCGTTAATTAATATGTTTAAAAAATTCAATTATAAAAAAGAGTTTTCACCATGATTAAATGTAAATATTTTACATTTATTGACCTTTTTGATACTTGAATGCATTAATGAGTAGCAGTTAAATTTGTTCTATTCACATATTTAATTACATTTATATTAATGGAGTCTTTTTCAAACGTATTAATTTTCTTTGCAGGCTTATTGTATCTTGGAATCGGAGATTTCTTTCTATATTATCAATATTTGCTTTAGCATTATTTTTGTATAAGACTTGGGTCAATCAAATATGGCCTGAAATTAGAGGTGAGTAAATTATTTATTAGAGCTGTTTTATTTGAAAACTGTCTGTTTTCTGAATGACTTTTATTTATTTCAGTGCCTCCTAAAGAAGGTGAAGATACGGAAAGGTAGATTTTTAGTATATTTTCTATATTGTTACGTTTATTAGAGTTTCAAGTATATTTGTCACCTTATTGCAATTACCAAGATAATTTTGGAACCAAGANTTGGAATCGGAGATTTCTTTCTATATTATCAATATTTGCTTTAGCATTATTTTTGTATAAGACTTGGGTCAATCAAATATGGCCTGAAATTAGAGGTGAGTAAATTATTTATTAGAGCTGTTTTATTTGAAAACTGTCTGTTTTCTGAATGACTTTTATTTATTTCAGTGCCTCCTAAAGAAGGTGAAGATACAGAAAGGTAGATTTTTAGTATATTTTCTATATTGTTACGTTTTATACATAACATAATTGTTACGTTCAAGTATATTTGTCACCTTATTGCAATTACCACGATAATTTTGGAACCAAGATACCGATGAATTTAGAACTTCTTAATCTGCTTTTTTTTTAAGAGGCTTGATTTATTTTTGCCTTCATTTCATTAGTATTATAGACGCGCAATTACCAAGATAAGTTTGGAACCAAGAAACCAATGAATTTAGAACTTTTTAATCGGCTTTTTTTTTCAAGTGCTTAATTTATTTTTACCTTCATGTTATTAATATTATAGAGCATCTTCATCAGAATTTACATTAGCTATCATGTGTCAATTTTTGTTGAGTCATCAAAATCCTAATGTAGTGGTATAAAAAAAATTATTGGTCTTAAATTTAACAGTACTTAGCGGTTAATATAAAAGGCTACAAAAATTTTTTTAAATAAAATTTAACAACTGTTGAAAGGAAAGATCTTGAAAAAAAAAACCTTTTTTTTATATAAATACTTGAATTTTAATTCTGTTCATTTTTGTTAAATTTCTTAATTTGTGTTTAATTAGTTGGTGTACATTGAATCCGGGTGTTTTGAGTGTTCCTGAGTTGTGTAAATATTTAAACGATTTCCTGGACAAAATGATTATACTGTGGAAAGATGTTTGGAAATTGAGGAAAGAAAACCATGGATTAGTGAGTAATTTATTTTTGTCTTTGAAACAATTAATTGAATTGATCTAGCATGTATATATTATTTAAGTTGTGTTCATGCATTGGTGCTTAATTGTTTATTGATGGGTTATAAATAGAGTTACAACCAAATGTTCTTTTGGCATTTTTCAGCTTCTGTTTCTGTAGGCTTTTAGAAATGTTAGTATTTTCAGTTTTTATGTAGTTTGATTAACTGAACCATTTGCTTTAAAATACTTTCAATAAATTAATCGAAATTTTTAAATTATTTAAATCATTATTTTGTTTTTTAGTCGTACCAATTTTGTACGTTATTTAGCAATTAAATGTTTTGAGATGTGGATTATGGGATATCTTACCTACAAATCTTATTTAACCCTTTGAATGTTAGTCCTGGCTTTTTACGAACTTTCAAATGCAGACTTTACTGCATTAAAAAACCTGTTTTTACGTGTTATTGAATAGGAAAAATGTGCAAAACAGAAAAATTTCTGAGCAATTTTCCTGGGCACTTGGATGGGAGAGAGATAAAATAAAATGTTCAAATTCTCATTTTTTAATAATAGAAATTATGATTATAAAGAAAAAAGTTTAGAATTAGAATGTATGTTAATTGTAAAATTTTTTTTTGATTCAGATAGAAAAAATACACAAATCGGGTTAGTAAAATAGTAAGAAAGAAGTAACACTCATTTGTGGAATATAATCTTTTGAAACAAAATCCGCTTCTTTTTATTTTTTCAATGTCCATATTTCACGACTTTTCCTAATTTTCAACTACTAAACTATGTAATGTATATGAAACAATTGGGTGTTTTTCAAATGTTACAGAGACAGAGACTATTAACTATTTGAAGTTGTTGCATATTATTTTTTTCAGTACCAGTGAACTTAACCGAAATTTTGTAAACAGTTTTTTTTTTTTTTTCATTTATTAGAACTTAAGCATTTGTCTATATGACCTTTTATCTGTTTAAATTACTTGTGTTTAATGGTGTACAACATTCTTTTGATTCTAGTTTATTATAATATAAGGACATTAATTTACCTTTGCCACCACTAAGAAAATAATTTCCTGAATCTACAGAGAATTTATGGTAGTTATGATCTCTGCAAAAATATAATTCTGAGAAACCTTATTTTATTTAATTATATTGTACATTCTTTTCAGTAAAACTATTTCTCCATAAGCAGTAGTGTATTTATATATAATAGCTTTTCAAGGAATTTAGCAAATCTCTACAAAAAACATTTAACTTTCGAAATTGGAGGTTTTGGACAATTTGTTAAATTTTTTAGTTTTCTAGTGCTTTGATATATTTAAGTTCCTCTGTATTATTTTTATGATACATTAATAATTTCTATGTTTTAGCTTTTATAACTGTAAGTTTTATTTGTCGTTATTATGTTACAGTTTTGTGCACTCATGTGTGGATTTTTTTCATTGACTGGCTTGTTTGGCATAGTTTTCCCTGGAGTGCTTATTATTTATTTCTTTGGCAAGTATACTATCCTAAGTTGTTATTCATATAGTTGTCTATATAATTATTTATAGATCTGAACAAATTCATTGTGAAATATTAATGTTTTTAAAGATGATGATGATTTTTTAAGAGATATTTGGACAATATATCATTTTAATTTTATGACGCTTGACAAATAACATCCATATGTTGCTTAAGGGCACATGAAGCTGGTACATTAATATAAAATATGAATATTTTTTAAGCATTGTGATAGCAATATTAAAAAAAAAACTATTGTTGTATATTATGAACACCATATTTTATCATAAATATCCAAAGTGTGATTACTATTGAAACAGATAATATCAGATTATTAATTTTAATGTTGCAATAATTATCGACAATGAGGAATATAAAATCTGATAGTATCAAATATCATTCAAAGACAGCAAGTTATTGCACAGTGTTTTTTTCTTTTTTTAAATGAGAAGTATCAAGTATTTGAATTTTGAACTTTTTTAATTGCATTCTAGTTTAATAACATAATCTAGTTTCTAGTTAATAAAATAATATTAATTTTCAATTCATTTTATAAATAATGTTTAAATAAGGTAAATAAAAAATTGGAAAGAAAAATAAATTTAATGAATGCCTTGAGAAATTAAAACAAATATAAAGTTTCTTTCAATGTTTTACATACAGAGTATAGTAAAACTTTATTTTATAATCAAAGTTCTTTAATATTATCAAGCTTTCGACTTCAGCTTTTTTCATTCAATATCATCCACATGTGATCATGTTGGTTAGAAGAAAATGAAGCTAGGTGATATATTATCATAAAATATGGATATTTTTTAAGCATTGTGATGGCAATATATATATTAAAAAAATTGTTCTTATATATTGTGAGCACCATGTTTTATCATAAATATCCAAAGTGGGATTACTTTGGAAACAGATAATATCAGATCATTAATATTAGTTTTAATGTTACAATAATTATCGAAAATAAGGAATATATATAAATTATAATTTTATGAATGTATTAAATAAATTTATGTGTTATGCATGTATAACATTTACACTAAGAAATGTATTCTTAGCACAAAGTTAAATTGTGTTTTGAATTATTCTTTAATATAATGTTAAGTAAATGGTGATACTTATTTAATAATTAGCAATTTCTAATAGGTACTAAAATAGAATATTTACAAACTTACATACTATTTATACAGGTACTTGTTAAATAATTAGCAATTTATTATAGGTACTCTAGTAAAATATTTACCTGCCTCCTTTTAATGATCGCATGGAAAATATTTATTATTGTTAGTGAAATAACTATTAGATTTCAATTATTAAATTTACTTAAAACATAGCACCTTTGAGTGAACTTTATATATTTAAATTAATTATAAGTTCTGGTAGTCAAAATAAGCAGCCATAAAAAAAAATAGCCAGTGATATTTAAAATTTAAAAAGGTCTTAAATGTAATGCTGCATTTTAAATTCGATCTTATCTTTTATCATGTGTATAACTAGGGTTCACACCAGCAATGAAAATTTAGTGGTAAAATAGGATCACCTAGGTATTCATTTAGTGGTCCAAAACTTAATATGGTAGAAAAACTTGAGAAAAAAATCAAACTGCACTATTAGATAATACATTTTATGGTTCACTTTAAGAATTATTTATTGCCATCTATACGACCCTAAAACTTGTTGGATTCATTACCCATATAATGATTAAATATTAGGATTTATTAAAATTAAGTGAAAATAATATAAATATATAGATTCAACATAGAGATTAAAATGCTGATTAAATAAATGAAGAAAACAAAGAAAGTAAGAACTAACAATATGTGTTATAAATTAATTAGATAAAAATTATAAAGTTTTAAATAAAGTCAATTCTATTAGAGCAAAAAATATCTCATTGATTTGTACTGTCAGTATATGAAGGCACAGCACAACATGTAAAGTTGAAATTTCACCATTTAAATTTTTTTGTACCAGACACTTTCAGTTATTCCATTTGACTTCCATACCATGCATAGAACTGTGAAATTAGTACAACAAATTTTGTTTCAAATTCATGGAATTAGATGGGATTGCTATTCTATAAATTTTAAACAAGGCAGTAAATTTGCCGCCCATTTGTATGATTTTAGCAACATTTGGTGACAATTGTCGCCGCATCATCCTACTGGCATGAACTCTATGTATAACAAATGTATGCATAACAATTATAAATTTCTTATTTGCACGATAAGATCCTCTGTTGTCATTTTTTTTAAAATTGTTTTTGTCAAATTTATTTATTAATTTCATATATATATATTTTTCTATATAGTGTTGTTATTAACCCTGGGACCTGGAGTAGCTTTACATCTAATTCCTTCAACTGTTTATGATCAGATAATTGGCTACTTTTCTGAAACCGACAGTCAAGGTATATTTATGATTTTTACATTTTAAGAAATAATAACTATCAGGGCTGTCTAGTATTTGAGACTGGTGTAAAAAGGTGCTGTAAAATCTAGTTAAAACTGCCCACGAAAGACCTACCTGAATAAGCTGTCAAAAACAGTAAAATCTAATTTTTTTTCATGTTAAAATTAACTTTAATTCTAAACAAATAAAGTCTGAATTCTGACTCCATTAAACGGAACACCAAGTTGCTTATGCATCTGAGACAAACATTGTCCCAGGCTGGTGAAAAAACTCCCACAATTTTTGAGAGGAAGATTTTCCGATCCATTTATGGTGGCTTTTGCGATAACGGAGTTCGGAGAACTAACTCTGAACTTGATGATTTATTCAGAAAACNATATTTCTTTTTCCTATATAGTGTTGTTATTAACCCTGGGACCTGGAGTAGCTTTACATCTAATTCCTTCAACTGTTTATGATCAGATAATTGGCTACTTTTCTGAAACCGACAGTCAAGGTATATTTATGATTTTTACATTTTAAGAAATAATAACTATCAGGGCTGTCTAGTATTTGAGACTGGTGTAAAAAGGTGCTGTAAAATCTAGTTAAAACTGCCCCCGAAAGACCTACCTGAATGAACTGTCAAAAACAGTTAAATCTAATTTTTTTTCATGTTAAAATTAACATTAATTCTAAACAAATAAAGTCTGAATTCTGACTACATTAAACGGAACACCAAGTTGCTTATGCATCTGAAACAAACATTGTCCCAGGCTGGTGAAAGAACTCCCACAATTTTTGAGAGGAAGATTTTTTGATCCATTTTTGGTGGCTTTTGCGATAACGGAGTTCGGAGAACTAACTCTGAACTTTATGATTTATTCAGAAAACCCGACAGTCTGAAATACATAACATAAGAAATGGGGCGGATAAATTTTAGGAATGATTGATGAGCAAATGATTGAAAAAAAATCCTTCTTCCAAAACCAATAGGAGTAAGAAAGAGAGGCGGACCCAGGTTGAGGTGGTCAGACTACCTTCAAAGTGACTTCAATATAAAACCAGAGACTGGCTGTAGCGCCCAGGGGGAAAGAATGGTCTCATCATCTTGAAAAAGCCAGGGTCCATCCAGGACTGTTGAGCTATTGATGAATGAATGAATAAAGTGTAAAGTGCAAATTAATAAATTTAATGTTTGAAAATAACTATTTAACTAAAAATTATAAGTTACATACTCATATGTTTATAGTAAAATTTATTATTATAAAAGTTATAAAATATCAAAAAAATAATGATAATATAAAATATTAACAACATTAAGTAAGTAATTCAAAATATAAAAATATTTGTAAATATAATAGGCCTCTAAGATAAATAATATCTTAAAATTCATTTTATACTTTTAATACTTGAAAGTACAAAAATTCGACATTCAAATTAAAAAAATTTCATTATTACAATGTAAGTTTTTGTTTTCTCAACATTGTTTTGCAAAAGATAAGATAAAATATTATTTCAAGATAAGTTAAAAGTATTATGCACAGTGCTGACGACATTGCGGCAATCATGTCATTGGTCACAAAATTGTGGAGCCTTTTCCGCCATGACCCACAGTGGGCTATTGTGGGAATGCTTATATATATATGTGTATATACATGGTGTGTAGCATTTTTAAAAAGTACTTAAAGGTGCTTATTTTCGTTTTTAAAAGCCTTCAAGGATGCTTTTTTCATTGGGTGTTTTTAAAAACTGTTTAATTTTCCCTTTTCCAAAATGAAAATTTTTCTTTACCATCTCGATTTTTGCCACATATTATGTAAAAGTGTGCTTTTCATATTGTTCTATTCAGCGTATTTCCAATTCATTCAACCATAATCTATTTCAACATACCGTCGATCCATAGCGTATGAAAGCGCCAATCATTTTACATGTTTGAAATACTTGCGGATCCGCATGTGTTTCAACAAAGCTGGGTTTGGTGAGACTATTGCACTCTCATGTGCAACGCTGCTACATTTTGGAAGATATTCTCTATTTCAAACTTCATTTTCCACCCTCTGATATGGAACCGAAAAACCTCTTAAACTTTTTTATAATGGTTAATATAATCAAGAAAAGAGTTCTTTTTGTCAGAAACTAGTTATTTTATCATGTAAAATCTTTGACAATTATTTTGTATTTTGTAAATGTATATAGTACTTAAAAGTATCTTTTGAGTGCTTAAAAAATACTTAAAAGGTGCTTATTTTTTGTTGATAGATTTTGCTACGCACCTGATATATATATATATACACATACCCATGCTATAACCTATCTTTTACTATTGTACATTTGATGTATCTCAATTGAATTTAATGTATTTCTTGTAACATCTAAACAATGCAATAATTTCTAATAGTTTCAAAATCCCCATGCATTTCGGACAAAGACAGTGATATAGAGGAATTTGTACCTGAAATATCACCAGAGGTTATTAGGCAGCTTTCTTTAAAGGATGATGTGCCTGAAATTCCTAGTCCAGGGGTTGTTTTAACAGAAAGCTCGGCCATTTCTGGAGATGCAAGTTTTATAACTGAAAGTGAGTTATTTGTCTTTCTGCTCAATTTTGTGCCCATTTAATTTTTCTGAATGTAGTTTATATAAGAGTACTTATGCAGTCAAAATTGCCGATAACGAGTTCATAGGAGCTGCAATATTTGCTTGTAAAAAATGGGTTTGTCAAAAAATTAAAAGGTTCATATATGCTTAATTATTTTCATATATGGTACTTACTGTTTTTTATACTGTTTAGAAATATAAAAAAATAAGTTAATTTGTTTTAAGCTATCTTATTCTTTCTTGTTGTGTTATTGTTCTTCAGATAAGATTTATTTTCCTAAAAACATCTTCATTTGCACCGCTGCCTTTGAAAGTAGTTTTAAGTTTTTCATTATTTTTTCATCTGCTTTAGAATATATTTCAGCTACAATATCCTCAGGAGTAGTTATCTCGGAAGTGATAGCATTGGCATCGAAGTATACGTAGCTTTCAATTCTTCTCTACTTTGTCCTTTTAATTCAAATTTTTGGAGTCTGCTACTTCTTCCTCGAACACAGATTGTTTGTAAAAACCGTGGTTTGATGCTCCAATAGACTTAAAATTGTACCAACAAAGTATTTCCTATTTCTTTGACAAATCCCAGTTATTTATTTATTTATTTATTTATTTTTTAAATCAAGCATCATTATAAGCGAGTAAAATTTTTAAGTCTTGAAAAATTTTTTCCTTCCTTTAAGTCAGTGCCTATCACAAACATACAATATGTACGATATTACTATCTCAATGAGTTTTGGGTGTGTAGGTGATGTTATCAGTAGATAACTGTTGAGCACCAACTATAAAGTAACTTAATTTAATTAATCAGCGACTTTTTAAAACTATATGTGTAAACTCTACAATATCGAAACTTGTTAAAACCATCCTTTAGTAAACCTTTAAAGTTTTTTGGGGGGCATATGTAACGGGGGAAAATTATTCGTTTCATCCCTAGTTTTTATAAAAATATCTATATATTTATTTACCTTTTTTCTTAATAAAATTTTCAATTTATTTGATAGGTTTTCAACATTGCAGAATAATGAAAGGAGAGGATGAAAATTATTAAAATAAAATAATTTTTAAAAAAATATATAAAAATCCGGAGAGGGGGGGGATAATATAATCTCTTCATTAGCTCACATGATTATATCCTCAAAAAAAAGTGCTTTCTAATATTATCAAACTTTTTATTTAAAGAATTTTACAGCTAAACTTTTGGATTATCAGTTGCACGAGAATAAGAATTTTTGTTTTCTATTTTTTTGGGGGAAATTTTGCAATGCATTTTTTCTACTGTAAATTCTCTTCCGAAACTGTGTTGTAAATAAATATTGGTTATTTTTCCCAACCGTGTTTGTCGATTAGCTAAACAAATACATGAGGCATTTAGGAATTATTAAATTCCCCTGATAATTAAACTTGCAATTTGTGATTTGCATTCAGGAATAGGAAGCTCAATAAAGAAAGGCGTTTGATTCGGCTAATCACATAAATCAAAAATTATTATTTTTGTTGAAATTTAAATTACAAACAAGTGAGACAAAAATAATGTATTTCTTTCTTTTAATTTTCGCAAAATGTAGGTGATGACTTTTCCCTCTATCAAGGTCTTGGGGCATTCCCAAGTGTCGAAGAAGAAGGAGAAAGCGACATTGATGAAGATATTTCGGACATCGTGCCTCAAGTAGAATCAGAAAAAATTGAAATTCATTTTAACCCCTCACACTTTAAAGACAGTTCTGAATCGGAAAGCGAAGCCGCCTTCACGGAAGGCCTCTCTTTCAGCGATGCACAAGAACAAAAGCCATCGAGTGATCAACTGTGCACAAAAGACACCACTGCACAAGAAAAGTCTTCTAAAAGAAAAGAAACTCGCAAGTTATCTTCCGATTTAGAAGACGAACTAGAAGATTTTGAATTGCTTGATGACTCTGATATCCCTAGTTTAAAGTGATGACATCTGTTGCTAATAAAAATTCTTCAGATTTTTTTTTAAAACTGGGGATCTCGACTACTTTAGTTGCTATCTTGTTTTAGTTAGTGTTTAAGAGAGATTTTTTTTTGTGTGTTGTGGTTGTGTGCACATTTTCACCAAAGTTTAAATCTATCATATAGTTATATATTTAAGTAACATTACAAGTTATAGTATTGTAATTTATAAAAAGCTCCCATTTTTCATTCATCGTTTAACATTTTTTTAGGAAAAGGATTGAATTTTGTTTTTTTACATATTTTTTATGATGAATTGTAAAAGTTATTAATTAAAGTAATTTTTATAATGTTATATCTATATTTAAATTTTATTCATTTCAATTGCTAGAGAAGTTTTATAAGAATTCCTAAAATTTTATATTTATTTTATAATCCACTTCTTTGTGGACATCTATTTAAACTAGAGGTGTCAAGGGTCACTATGAATTTATAGCTTTTGTATCAATTGATAAAATCTTAATTTTTTATTGATTTATTAAAAGCAATAAATCTTAAAAATTTGACGAAGTCTATGTATTATCTACAATAAATTAACATTCAAAATTTTATCTTTAATAAAAAAAAGTTATAGGCATAAAATACATGTTATTTATTGTATAACAATTTTAAATTTAAGCAAGACAACTTTTTTTTTAAACATATTATGGCCAAAGATTTTTTTTTTTTTTAAAAAAAGGAATTGTAGAAAATTTTAAATATTTGATCACCTTGAATTTTGCTGCTTCCATTTAGCTTGTGGGCCTCACAGGATATTCAACCCTTATTTCATCTAAATAACGAATGGACATTTCAGCTGGTTTATTTATGCTTCTTTGATATTTTAAAGTTTCATAGCAGTTTAAACAATGCTATGGATTGTTAACTAAAAATTTTATTTATAACTATTATGGTTGCAAATTTAAAATTAAAACTTCTAGAAATTGTATTAAGTCATTTTTTACTTTTAAATTCTTGACTGTCAATGAAATATTTAATTAATTGTCATTAAAAAAAATTTTTATGTGAAATTTCACTACATATTTGGTGAAGATTATCTATATTTGTTTACTTGCAGATATAATATATAGGTCAGTTTTTAGCATAAAGTGTAATAACAGTTGAGAAGCATGTAACTGTTAACAGTATAAGTATGTTTATTAACAAGTTTGTTATGATGACTTGCTTTATAAACTTTTGCATTTTGTTACTGCAATTGCAATTTGATCTCAGCAAAGCTTAGAATATATTTTTGACATATTTTATGTGAGACATGAAATATTTTTATTTGGATATTTTATAATATCAGTTGCAATATCGTGTGAAAATTTATATTGCTCAAAAAAATTGGTATTGGTTTTAATATATGATTTATATTTTTGTAAGTTTTTTTATAAAGGATTTTAATTTAAACAATGAAAAAATTTATTTTTTTAATAAAATGTAGTGCAATTTGATTAAGATAAGAATTTTCAAATGCCCTGCACCTTAAAAGTATTTAGGAAAAAGAAAAATTTTATGAAATATTTGAGAAATTATCATAATATTCTGACAGCTTAAATAAATTATTATGGCTAAATTAGCCTGGTATTACAATTGGTTAAATAGTATGTTTATTACTTATTTTTTTGTTTTGACAATTTGTTTGATTGTGATTGCAAAGAAGATATCTTTACTTTATGTAAAGTCTTTACTAAATATGAACAATACCTTATATTTAACTTTCACTTTATGAGCAGTCTTTGTCATTAGATTGTTATTTTTAGTAATAATAACTACTAGTTCTAGACATTTTTTACTGCATTCTATGCCTTAAATAGATATATTTCACTTATCATTTAACTCCTTTCACTGATCATATGGCATTGAATTAATATACTTGTGATATCATGTTTATAGTATTTAAACTGTATATTCTATAGAACATCATCTATTTGAAGTGATTTTGTGGTTCAGATATCACATTAAAGGCCCTGATTCTTATTTATTCAATTTGTTTTTGTGGTCAGAATTGGATGCAATTTAAATATTGCCAGCTTATTAGCGAATTGTTAGCAAGGTTTTGTTTGAGTTGCATCCATAAATTTATATACATGAAGGTTCTCGGTGTTGGAAGTGTTATAATTATTTCAAACTATTATCCCTTTTGCTCTAAGTCCCCCAGTGGGCTGATCGTAAAGACACGGTTCGCAGTAGAACACCGAAGTCAAGCTTGCGGTCAGTAAGTGGGTAGGTGACCACTTTAACCAGCCTGCATAGAGACTGAGGGTGCGCAGTATCGGTCCCCGTGAAACTGTTCTACCCTAAAGTACTCAAAGCGGGAATAGCATCCCCTTTGCAGAGGATTAAAATTGTGAAACATATCTTCAGATCATCCTCAGTGATGTTTCCCAGACAGTTGCCAATAGCCCATTGCGGGAATAGCATACCCTTTGCAGAGGATTAAAATTGTGAAACATGTCTTCAGATCATCCTCAGAGATGTTTCCCAGACAGTCGCCAATAGCCCATTGCGCAGCTCTAATGGGACATAAATAAAGTATCTACCTACCCTTTTGCCCTTTTCCAAGAACGTTGGAAGTTTTTAAAAAAAAAAAAATTTGTTTCTAAAGATAGGTTTTGATGACCTAAAAATAACCTTAAGAATAGCAAAATAATGACTTTAAAATCGAAAAAAATTCTTGTGTAACTAAGAAAGTATTTTGTATGAAACAGTATTTCTTACCAGAATTTACACTTAATTGTATTAAAATATGCATGCTAAAACTGAGTCAAAATAAATATTAAAAGAGGAAAGCAAGGTTTTAGAATTAAGCTATAAGAAGCAAAAGTACAAAAAATTGCTCAATGCAAAAAAAAAAAAAAAAAANCTAAAAAAAAAAGGAAAAAAAAGGAACACATAAAATAGTCCACAATATAAAAAAATTCCCTGAAATGGAAACAAATCTCAAAGGCTTCTATAAAATAGTAAAAAATGTGAATGTCATCAAAATCTGGACCTTAGTAAATATGTAGAAAGAGTTAAAAGAAGAAATGTTTTTAGTTACGTATTGAAAACCCCAACAATCTGGGTTTAGTTGTGATTTACCGTGTGGTGTGAAGTCTTAAAAAAGTGGTTTTCTAAAGGGAGGGAAAAAAATATATCTTATATAAGTTTTATCTCGTTTGAAATTTACTAAACGTCTTCCTTTAATTTTTAAGTTTTTTTTCTTCAGAAATATGGTCTTCATATTGAATTATTGTTTTTAATTTTTATATGGCTTGGAATTCTGTGTTTTATTAAAAGCATGTTTTGTAACAATTGTGTTAAAGAGAGGACTTGTTTTTTATGCTTTATTTGATATAAATTATTTTTTGTCCTGCTTTCAAAACGTAATTATTACCTAATTTAGTTATAGGTAAAGGAAAGTTTGTTAAAATAAATCTTTGAAATATTTTAGTACTACTGTGGATAGAATTATAAGGTCTATAAGCATATTTTAGTACTCCATTTATTTAATTTTGATTACAGAATTTAGAAGCCAAAATGTAACTGTTTTTTGTTTATTTTAAATTTCTGTCTGAGAATTCTTAACAATTTTTACAGTGCCTAAAATAAAAATCTCAATATTTTTTTATTTACTGATTAGATTTTCTTATACTACAATGTGTCTTTAATGATACAAGTGTCTATACTCAAGTATATTAGTACTTGAGTATATTAGTTTTTTAAAAAAAAAAATTTTAGGAAAAAACTTTAACTTTACGAATATAGGTCTAAATTAACAGAAACCTCAAATACTTTCAATTTCTCTTATATTATTTATTACTTGGAAAAGCGGTTATCATCTCCAAAATGTTCAGGTTATTTTGCACTAGTTCAAAATTTCAGGGGGATTGGATTTGGTTGTCAAAAGTTTCATTAGAGTTAAAGTTAATTTTATATGCCTTTATAATTTAAATTTTTGACCAATAATATTTAAAAATAATCTGATTAATATAATTTCATTATTGTGATTACAATTATTTCAGGTTTAGAATTATTGTAACTAATAGATTTTAAGTTTTTAGACGAAAATTTTTGTTGTTGTTAAAATTAACATATTCACATACATTATTTGTTTACATACATTAATTAACATATATTATTGATTCGATGATTTTAACTGTAAATTTTAATAATTGAAATGTTATCTACAATACATATTTGAAGAGGACTGGAAAATAGTTCTTCATTTTTAAAAATGAATCCTGCAGTATTTACCATGTTTTGAGAAATGCTTTAAATTAATGGTATCAATATTTTTTTTTAATAGTTTAGAATATTTAATTTTTGGAAAAGTGGCCACATTTTTTTTAAAAAAAGATATTACTACTGGTCACTGACTGTACTACACCCCATATTTTAATCTAAATTTTAGTTAGATTTAAATCTAAATCTATTGAGAAAGATATGTTTATTCTGAGAAAATAGATTATTTTGCCTGGTTTTGAAATTTTAAGTATCATATACATTAATTAGCATATTTAAGGTTGGACTCTTAAATCATTAAAATTGCATCTTAGTGCATGACAATACGATCAGTAAATAAGTTGAGTTTTTTTGTGCACTGTATTTTCATATTTAACAATGGTGGCTGCTTGTTTATTATATAAATACGCATCTATGCTACATAATTTTAACCTTACTAATTTGTTAATCATAAATTATAATGTGACTTTTGATAGTTTTGTAAGCTATTGTTGATTTTGTTTTATTTTGAAATTCTTTAATTTATTTTCTTGTTTACATATGAAAGAAAAGAATATAACAATCTAGTCATTTCCAATCTTTATATATGAATTTTTTGTGTGATGACACAGAAAAAGAATTTTGTTTTGCTACAACAAGTGTTATTCGTCAATCAAGTTGGATTTTTTTTTTGTAGGTAATAGATATAAATGATTAAAAGTGTTTGTCTAAATAAAAGTAAATTTAAAGAATATTGCTCAGTGTGTGATAACAATTATAGTTGTAGAAGTCAGTTAAAATATTTAAAAGCCAAATTTTCATAGGATTCCTTATTTGTGTTCTAATCCTGCAAATATATTGTCATCTTAAAAGATATTTACCGAATCATTTGGAATTTTTTACTAAAAAAACTTAAAACAAAAATTGATTAAAATAAGAGTTTTATTCTAATAACTTTTCAAATTCAAAAGAATCTTTCATCTAATAAATAATCTTTTTAACTACACAAGTTGGAGTTTCCAATTGAGGATAAAAGTGTCTTAACTTAATGCAACCATTTTCAGACAGTGGTTTACTTCGTCAAGATAAAATTGGCGGCATATTCTAGATAAAAGTGATAGTTCTTGATAATTTATAACTTAACAATTAATTCAAAATAGACATAATCTTTTTAATATAAAAAAAGTTCAGCACGATGTCGATTGGCGATTGACACTTTGAAGGTGGCCACAAAACAGGGAATTTTATTAATCTATAAAAAATCGGGGAAATATGAGGAAATTTTATCACTGTAGGGGAAAAAAGGGAATTTTATCATTCTGAAAAAAAAAACAGGTAATTTCATCAATGTGGGAAAAATCAGGGAATTTTATTTATGTAGAAAAATCAGTAAATTTTAACAATCTGGAAAAATCAGGGAAATGTCAGAAATTTAAATACCTTAAAAGTCAGGAAGAATGAATTAATTTAAGTTTGATACTCTTAAAAATCCAATTTTTCCTCCAAAGAAAATGGTCTCGCAATAATTTTTTTAAGCTATTTAATTTTAGTTCTAATAATTCATAAATATTCTGTAATATGTTTTCTGTATAAAAAAAGTCACTGCTGAGAAATTAATAATGAAATTAAATTTATTGATTGAAAAATGAAGGAAATTTGAAAAGGAAATCTGCCTGAAAAAGTCAAAGAATTTTTTTCTTCCCGAGTGTTTGTGGCTATCCTGTTCCTTTTATAATATGCAGCATACTTTTAATAAAAAAAGTGCAAAATATGTTGTATAAATTGTTTTGACTGTACGTTTTGTTACTGATTTAAATGCATTGATTTTTTTTTTACTTGTTGCCGTGCCATCTTAAGTCTTTCTCCTGATGTGATCTTTGTTTTTTTTTTTTCTATAAAAAAAAGGAAAATTTAAAGTTTATATGATTGTTATATTTGTACATGAATGTGTTTTTGAATTGTTTTTATATTTCTGTTCTTGAACAAATATAATCTGGGCCATTGTTTTATATTCACTATAAATAAACCATATCTCACTTACTTTCATTTCTTTTACATTTTGCCTTAAAATGTATGCTTACATAATTGCTCCTTTTATGTAAAATTATTTTTAAATCCATTGATGGATTTTGCTGCCAGCATCATTCATGCTGATTCCCATTGTAAAATTATGTATTTCTTTAATTCCTGGTAATGTCCTGGGTTCCAGAAAATGGTGAGAGATGACGTAAAACAGGATTCACGGGTGGGCCCTGGCCTTCTCTTGTGATTTCTACATTTAGCGACTACTCTCCAGGGCTTAATCCTAAGAATTTTTTACGACATTCTCAGAATAGTCTACCCTGATGTCTTTTTAGCATATGCTTTTTTCAAAAGACTTTCTTGCTGCTTCAATCTTCATGCNGCCTTTTTTTTTTTTTTTTTTTTTTTTTTTTTTTTTTTTTGTAGATAATAGATTCAAGAATATTGCAATTTCAAGAATATTGCTCAGTGTGTGATAACAAATATAGTTGTAGAAATCACTTAAAATATTTAAAAGCCAAATTTTAATATGATTCCTTATTTGTGTTCTAATCCAGCAAATATATTGTCATCTTAAAAGATATTTACCGAATCATTTGGAATTTCTTACTAAAAAAAACTTAAAACAAAAATAAATTAAAATAGAGTTTTATTCTAATAACTTTTCAAATTCAAAAGAATCTTTCATCTAATAAATAATCTTTTTAACTACACTTGTTGGAGTTTCCAATTAAAGATAAAAGTGTCTTAACTTAATGCAACCATTTTCAGACAGTGATTTACTTCTTCAAGATAAAATTGGCAGCATATCCTAGATAAAAGTGATAGTTCTTGATAATTTATAACTTAACAATTAATTCAAAACAGACTTAATCTTTTTGATATAAGAAACTTTTTGTAATTAGAAAGTTCAGCACGATGTCGATTGGCGATTGACACTTTGAAGGTGGCCACAGAGCAGGGAATTTTATTAATCTATAAAAAATCAGGGAAATATGAAGAAATTTTATCACTGTAGAAAAAAATCAGGGAATTTTATCATTCTGAAGAAAAAAAAACAGGTAATTTCATTAATGTGGAAAAAATCAGGGAATTTTATTTATGTGGAAAAATCAGTAAATTTTAACAATCTGGAAAAATCGGGTAATTTTATCAATGTGGAAAAATCAGGGAAATGTCAGAAATTTAAATACCTTAAAAGTCAGGAAGAATGAATTAATTTAAGTTTGATACTCTTAAAAATCCAATTTTTCCTCCAAAGAAAATGGTCTCGCAATAATTTTTTTAAACTATTTATTTTTAATTTTAATGATTCATAAATATTCTGTAATATGTTTTCTGTATAAAAAAAGTCTCTGCTGAGAAATTAATAATGAAATTAAATTTATTGATTGAAAAATCAAGGAAATTTAAAAAGGAAATCTGCCTAAAAAAGTCAAAGAATTTTTTTCTTCCCGAGTGTTTGTGGCTATCCTGTTCCTTTTACAATATGCAACATACTTTTAATAAAAAAAGTGCATAATATGTTGTATAAATTGTTTTGACTGTACGTTTTGTTGCTGATTTAAATGCATTGATTTTTTTTACTTGTTACCGTGCCATCTTAAGTCTTTCTCCTGATGTGATCTTTGTTTTTTTTTTCTATAAAAAAAAAGGAAAATTTAAAGTTTATATGATTGTTATATTTGTACATGAATGTGTTTTTGAATTGTTTTTATATTTCTGTTCTTGAACAAATATAATCTGGGCCATTGTTTTATATTCACTATAAATAAACCATATCTCACTTACTTTCATTTCTTTTACATTTTGCCTTAAAATGTATGCTTACATAATTGCTCCTTTTATGTAAAATTATTTTTAAATCCATTGATGGATTTTGCTGCCAGCATCATTCATGCTGATTCCCATTGTAAAATTATGTATTTCTTTAATTCCTGGTAATGTCCTGGGTTCCAGAAAATGGTGAGAGATGACATAAAACAGGATTCAGGGGTGGGCCCTGGCCTTCTCTTGTGATTTCTACATTTAGCGACTACTCTCTAGGGCTTAACCCTAAGAATTTTTTACATCATTCTCAGCACAGTCTACCCTGATGTCTTTTTAGCATAGGCTTTTCTCAAAAGACTTTCTTGCTGCTTCAATCTTCATGCATTCTTGCCATATCTAAAAAGTGCAGTTTAGCCCCAATTTTTTATATTTTGCTCACTGAAAATAAGAAGTTTTCAGAAAGGTGGGAGTATAACACAGATCTAAGCTTTAATCCCTTTTTAACAATTACGTTTGAATTTAATTCACAATAAATACTTTTATCACAGAATTTAACATAAATTATTAAAGGCAATTTCTATTAAATACCTTAAAAATTCATTTTTTTAAAAAAAAGTTTCGCTGTCGGATTTTTTTTTTCTTCGAATTTCTGACCCCCAAATTTTTTATTATTTTTTATTGCTGAATGGTGATATTATTCTATCCTAATTTCAAAAACGCAAAATAGTTTTGTCTTTAAATAGTTTTTGCTGGACATATTGTGATATTCCGTTTACTGATCTCCAGTTTTGCATGCAATGCATCTAAGTTTTATCTTAAAATAATGCACTAATTAGATTAAAGTATATTCAGTACACTTTTTCAACCCATCCTTTTGGTTAATTTTACGAACATTTAAGTATTTTCTAATGTTTCTGTGAAATATTTCTGCAACAAAATGCCATTTTTTTACATATGAAATATTGTATTGGCCAAATTGTGTAACGTTTGCAACGCCTGCAATTTTTCCCATAAATATATTGTTTAAGGTATTTGTTGTTTATTGCTAAGATAATCTGATGTCCTAAAATTCAATGAAAAAAATTATTTTACTAACGTTGCATTTATTTAAATGGAAACGTATATTACATAATTAGTGACGATTTAGTGCATCTAACTTAAATATCAATAGAATTAAAAATTAGCTGTTGTTAATACATATTATTGTTTCCACCTTTTGAGAAGTGGCCATATATATATAAAATAATATATATATATCCATATATATATATCCAGTTATTTTTTATTGAAAAAAAAGTAAAAATCAATGCACAACATTTTTAAACTAAGGTTTTGGAAAAAAGTTTTATTCCCAACTGTCCAGAGTACGTATGGGGTAAAATATTTCTGCTTCCAACAAGATAGTGCTCCTTCTCATACTGCAGGTGTGGTTCAGGAATGGTGCAGCAAATATTTAGCTGACATTTTGTCGAAGGATAAATGGCCTCTCAACTCCCCCGATCTGAACTTGCTTGATTATTTTGTTTGTTCACATATGCTCTCACAACTTAATAATTATAAAATCTTGAATCTGTACAAATTCAAAAATTTAATTCAAAAGTATGGTTTGAAATGCCGATAGATGCCATGTGATGGATTTGAAAAGAGACTTATGGCTGTATTTTTCCATTTAATTCAAAAGTATGGTTTGAAATGCCGATGGATGCCATGTGATGCATTTAAAAAGAGACTTAAGCTCGTTAAGAAGTAAAAGGCTGTATTATTCCATTTAATTCAAAAGTATGGTTGGAAATGCCGATGGATGCCAAGTGATGGATTTGAAAATTGGATTTTTGTGCTCTTATTTCATATAAAAAAAAATTTTTTAACCATAACTTGCAGGGGGAGAACAAGTCTATGTATTCCGCTGTCTGGGAATAAGAAAGTCCAACAATATAGAATTCATAAACTTTATTCAAAATTTAATCAAATTTATTCCATAGAGAACGACAAAGGGGAAAAAAAACCACAATAAGATGAATCATTAGGCAAAAAAGCTCATTTGCGCATCATCTGTTACGCATGGCTAACGCCGTGTTAGATTCTCGCGGGAAAATGCATCTGTAGCCAAGCGTTGATAATTGCTTGTCCACTTATTTTAGTTTTACGTATTTGGAACAAAAGAATACAGTTTAAAATGGCGCGTGTAACGCATCATTTGTGTATACTTCATGTTCCAGGTGCAGATTTTGCTAAAGTATTGTTTATGCTGGTGTCACGTAATGTTTCAGGATTCGACCTAGTGATCTCAGATGCAATTTCGTGAAACAAAAGATCCCCAATTTTCAAACAAGCGTCTTTTTTCTCCTTTAAAATTAACTGTTATGTATAACGGATTGAAAAATATCTAAACGCTAAGTTCTCAAAAATTTCTTATAATCATGTAATAAGTTTGAATGTTCTATTTTCAAAACGACGTAAATTTCTTCTTCCTATTTCCACTCTTTATTTTAACTATTAAATATAACTGATAGAAAACTACATTTAGAACGAGAATGTAAATGAGTTTGTAAGGGGTCCGCCAGGGTCTCCTTACCACCTTTGACCAATGGGAATGGATGACCCATGATTTCTGAGAGAGGCCTCAAAAATTACTAAATAGTTATCTAAATTATTACTTATCCTTTATTCTTATATATTTTTTTTTTAGATTCTAAAACAAAATTCCAAAAAAAAGGAAGGTTAAATGTCTTAAATTATTTTTACTTGCTCAAAACTATTACTTTGCTTCATATCGCATGTGCATACAGTGCCTGATTTATCATTAGGCCTGAGAGGCCCAGGCCAATGTCCTCCAGATTTCTGAGGGCCTCCTGAATGTTACAAATATTTCCTTTTTGTGTTTTTCCTTAAGAATTGTCTGTTAGAGTTATGATTTTGCAAAAATTGAAACAAATGTAAGCTTAAATTTACTAATATATCGTAATTTACTAGTGTTATAAATAATTTAAAAACACGTCATAACTAAACAGCATGTAAATTTTAGTTTAAAGCAACGACCAGGGGACACTTTAAAGTTCTGTGCTTAGGCCTCCCACATTTCTAGATCAGACCCTCTATGCTTAGCTGCCAACTGGTACGATATAGCTGGGACAGATTTTAAAAAGTGGTCATAAAGTAATATTTAAATCAAGATTTACACATAAAACGACGAGTGTTGCTACCATGAGTAGAAGTTGGCAAACATGCGAAACATGTGTAAACTTAAAGAAAGAAAATTAATTTCAACTGTCTGCTTTCTAAAATATCTAAGAACATTTTAACTAAATAAGAGAGGACCTTAGGGGAAAGGCAGGGCTAAAGAGAATAGAAGGGCTGGTTCCCTCCTTTGAGGAAACTCTCGCCGCGCCGATCCTCCGATTTTCTCTAGTGACGTCACTTTGGCGCAAAGCTCGCACTTTTACTTCAAGAACAAAGCGTTCGGATTACTAGCTCTAACTAATATTGGAGCATTTATTTTTGTGACATATTCTAAGACATTTGTTATATTTTATAATGACTTTCCTCAGTTTTTGCAATGAATTTACGAGAATTTAAAACTATTATCGAAATGCCAGTTTGCGCGATTGCAACTTGCAAAAATTCTGATAGAAGAACAAAAGGAAACAATGTAATTTTCCGCGTGTTTCCTAAAGTAAATGAACAACTATGAAAGAATGGATTCCGAAATGACACAGTTAATATAAAACAGCAATACGTTTATTCTGTCATTAAGAACTTTTATAAAAATTCATTATCTGAATAGAAACCGCCTCGTTACTTCAAAAAGAAAGACAGGTGAAAAAAATTAAAAAAGTCAAAGAAAATGTAAATAAAAAGTATAAANATCTTGCAAAAAAATTTCGTAAAAGTAGGCAGCTTATGCTAGAAGGTTTTATTTATTAAATATTAAGAATGTTATTCAACAGTAGAATTAAATATTTAGCGGTGGTCGGAAAAACTACATCATTTTTGTAGTTAACTACGACTACTTTTTTCTTAAATGTAGTTATTAAAAACTACTTCTTTGTTTTTAGGAGACAAATTTTGCTGGAGAACTTAATTAACGCCCATGTTCAAAATAGTTTATTGGCTTATTTAAGCACGAGTAATTGAGAAATATTTATTCATGTTTACACGAGCCAGTTCGTCATTCTAAGCCGATTTTTACGACTTTGTTCTTTTAAACTTCACGCCTTTCTCGACAGCGAATATTTAAGAAATGCTTGGAATTATAGAATATTAGCGATTTTGCCTAGTACTTCATGCCTTTTTATTCCTTCAAAGAAATAAAGTGCATCGAAACCGATGGTTAAATTATTGGTTTCCAAAGCCACAGCGAACAGAATAAAAAAATGGTGAACCAATAAAATAAGAATACCGTTAAATGAGAGATAAATAATTTTCAAATAAATAATTTCTTTTATTAATTTTATTTTAATTTGAAAGTAATTCGAATTGTTAATTGAAGTTAAAATTGTAAGTTAAATACATATATTATACTGTCCATGAGGCCCGGCTAAATCCAGCGACAGCTATGAAAAAAAAAGTTGTTTAAAAAAGTGAAAAGTTAAAACAGACATTCTTTTTTTTAAACCAGTTTTATTATCTTTCAGTACAAAATAACGACTGGTATACAAACCTCTCACATAGGAACGGATGTATAATACTTAAAGCTGACATCTGAAGAACCAATCAGAGTCAAGAACATTAAAAAAAAAATGGAATACGTATCATGAATAGGAAAAACGCTAATAAATGAAATAGGTTGGAACAAAATTGCAGCTATTTAAACGAGGATTACAATAAATATCTTGAGAGCTTAAAAATTTACAACAGTGACATATAAAATAAGATATGTGGATACACTTGAAATTCTTTTATCTATGTTTTTTTTAGAAAAAGACAGGAAATGATACGTGAAAAGTTAAGCTCAATATTTGGTGATGAGGGTATTTGCCAGTGTTACGTAGGCCTCTTTGGCTGCATCTTGAGCCATGCCTGCAATAAAAAAAATTCATTTTATTATTTATTACATACTTTGAAACAAATGACGTAAAAATTCTTGTTTAAAACTTCGGGATATTACTTATCTACAGTAGGTGATAGTAAATTTCTTTTAACATGTTAAGGTCAAAGAATATAGTGAAAACATAATAAATAAACATGGAAAATAATAAAGATTAATGAAAAGAGAAGAAACAAAATTATTAAAATAAAACATTTTTTACATTTTTTTTTTCATACATATTTATTTGAAAAAAACGTATTAAAAAGCCGAAAATCAAGGAAAAGAAAAATAAAATTTATAATATAGTACTTAATTAAAAAATTTATAATTATATATATACACTTAATCCCTGGAGTGCCTTATTGGCTCTTGGCATTTCCGGCAAAATTAAATTCCTAGTACACTTTAGCATCCAAATAGAGTCTCGGTGCTGTCATCTAGTGTGGCAGAAACGAGACGTTCAAATTAACATGACCAACGGTATCTCACCCATTGTGGTGGTCCTGAAAGAGTGGATACCAACTCTGGAGAACGCACTAGGTCTGCTCATCGGCAAGACCGATTGTGCAGCTCATTGGAAATAAAAAATATATACACTTAATTGCTTCTTACATAATATTATATATAAGGCGATAATATTATTTTCAATTTTTTGGATTTAAGGGATAATGAAGAATAAAATCTCAGCATTGTTGATTTAGACGATAAACGAAGTTATTTTAAATTTAAAATAAATAAGCTAATTACATGGAATTCTAATGCTTCTAAAAACATTTATTTAAATACCATTTTTAATCAAATAAAATTAAAAGAATAAGTAGTAATGTTAATTTATCGAAAAAACAAATAGACGAACTCTTCCAAATTTGATTAAAAAAACAATGAATATCCAACTAATGTAATTAAATTCTATATGAAATCATTGAGTTAATTGTAGGTTATAACTATCAATAAATTTATTAAAAATTTCCTTGTTTACTAAGTTTATATTTTTATCATATACAAATCCAATTTGGGCAAATCCGTAACTAAAAATCAAAAATTTAATAGAGAATTTTTTTTAAATAAAATTAGGTTTTCGTTAAATGTTAATAATTTCTCTAAATGTTTTAATCAAAATTCAACTTTATTAAATACAAACTTAGAATTATCCAGTATAATATTATTACCTTGAGCACACCCAATTTCGGACCAATTCTAGGTAACTAACAAGTCAAACGCGCTTCTATACTTCAGTGAGAACGCGCCACAAAATGTAGAGAAATCGAGGAAAAAATTACAGAATAATGAAAAGAGAAGAAGAAAATTATTATTTTTTATTGTGTGTGTATTTTATTTATTTAATTTTAATAATTTTATTCTTTTCTTTTCATTATTCTGAAATTTTTTCCCTGTTTTCTCTATATTTTGAACTTATTTTATAAATTCTACATACTATCAGCTTATGCGCAGTAAGGAAAACTTATTAATTTTCTTTGTTTTTTTTCATTTTTCTCTTCTTTCTTTTTATCCTTTTTGCGTTTAGTGTGTGTGTGTGTATAGTTAGTTTGTTTTTACTATATGTATAAATTTAAAACAATTAATTTTTTCAAATCGTTGAATCGAATTTTGTATTAGTGATGTTACTAGACTTAATTTAGAAAGGCTTATGGTTTTAATTGCCGTAATTTGAATATGATATGTAAAGCTTTAAAATATGTAATTCCTCTATACTGAGAAACATAATAGGATATTTGCAATAAACTTTTGTAGCATGACAACATAGCTATACCAACGTTATTTTAAAAAATTTAAATGTTCTTCATTTTAATTTTCTTTTTTATTTGCGTTTCTTTCTAATGTTTATTTGTATTGATTGACGTAGACACCCAAATACTTTTATTTTGTTTACTAGTCAATAGAATTTGAATCCTCTCAGTATTCATTTTGTTACCATGGAAACAAGCGAAAACATGCTATTAAAATTTTGATGTGTATCATTACTGTGGTTTCGAGTAAAAATATTACACAAGTTTAACCAAAATACACAATTTCTAACGAAGTTAAACTTATATAATTATCGCATCGAGACCATTATAGAGCAGGGGTTCCTGAATTAGGGTTGATTTCTCCCCTCAATGGGGTTATGATCCTCAGAGGGGGGGATGAGTATTGAATTGAAAACAATGATAAAAAGCTAACAAATATTGAAATCGAAAATGTATACGAAACCAATCGTTCAGACTTCAGACAAAGAATTACGAATTTAAAAAAAAATAATAATAAAATAAATAAAATAAAGTTTCTCTGAACTTTGCTCATCATACTTTGGGTTGAACAAAGATCTGTCTTAAGATCCTCTCAGAAAAAAAAGAAAAAAATTTAAAAAAAATAAGTAAAAAAGAAAAAATTGCTGAAAGCGGACTTCTGACTAACATTCATGCTTTAACTGAAAGCACAAGGTCAAAAATGGACAATAGAGTTTATCAATGCTTTCAATTAAAAAAAAATTATCCCTGTATCAATTATTTTCCTTATCTGTTCTTTTTGAAAAAATATAGAAAAGAAAAAACGTAAAAAATTACATTTTAATTTTTTTTCCTTCTTCAATTTAGTAATATTGAGGCCTATAGCGTCAAATTGAGCACAAAAAAGGAGAGAGAGAGAAATAGAAGGTGGCAATTAACATTTAGGGGNGGGGGGGGGGGGAATCACTGTTATAGAGCATTAGCTCCCACATACTTTAATATGAAAGGTATATTGACTTTATTTTACAATCGGCGTTTTAACCCTTTTAGGTACAGTGTAGCCAGTCGGTTAATACTAAATTCCGCACAGACTGTCTTTACTTTCCAGGCAAGCTGGTACCCTTTGGGAGCCCCCCCCCCCCTCCATATTTTGATTATACAGATTCAGAAATGAAGATAGTGAAAAAAAATAATCACCTTTTCTACCGGTCCAAGCTTCCCATTTAGCTTTGCCCTTCAGATCAAGCGCACCTGGTTTGTCTGAAAAAAAATTAAAATGAAGATAAATATTAAAAATACGACACGCTAAAAAAACTTTTTATTATTGGCATGGTTTCGAATATTTTTTTTTAAAGTATGCAAGATATTTTTTTTTATTTGCATTAAAAAAAACTCTAAATAATACATTTTTTAATAGAGTAGACTCCAGCCTATTTATGAAATTGAGTAGCGGGGCAACCTACATTTTGTTATTTTTATTTTATAAACGTCGTGGAACAGCCGACCCAATTTTGAGTTTACGACCTAAATCAGCAAGACAAGGGAACTCCTGGATCAAGTATTAGGAGAAATTTGCCATCGTGGAGGTTTCTTGATGGAATTAACCTGCTTTTGCGTTACATGGAGAGGGAAACCACGAAAACTTCCCATGGTTAGCCAGACGGTAAGGGGACTCCAACCCATCCGTCTACCACAGAGGATATTTTACGTCAGCACTGTGGCTGGTGCGAGCCGGGTGCGGAATTCGTATCGAATAGCCATCGCTGGAATTCGAACCCATTCACCTCGATATAAGGCAAACGCTCTATCTCCTGAGCCACAATTTACGCGAGTTTCATGGATAACACTGGAGAACCATTTTTTCCCTGCTGCATGAGAAGTTTGAACAGTTCTTTGATATTTTCACGCCGCTGATTTCAAATCTGCAATCTACTTCCTTTTACAACTTTCCTTTTTTTCTGCTTTCATCAAATCTGCAATTTACTTCCTTTTTCCTTTTAGTTATAATGTAATCTAATAACATACTCCTAATCAAGAATTTTAAAAAAGTCATTGGAGTGAATACTAAGTGTTCCCACTTCTCTGCTACGTAGGGAATGGTACGGAAAAGAAGATAATAGATTTAAGTTTGTGAGGCGATACGTCAAGGTCATGTTTGTTACTTTAAGTGTTATTTTATTTATTTATTTATTTATTTTTAAAGCTGCTAAGCGTATAAATATCTGTATAAACTTATTTTTTTCCGAAAGCACAAGTTTATAAACAACACATAACTGAAATTATCATTTTAAAAAAATCTGTAGTAATCAGAACAAATTTCGGCTTTGAAGTCCCCAAACTCGAATTAGGTAACATCAAGTACGTACTGGTATAAATGCAACAAAAAATTTGCTCCTCAGTGTCATCCATAAAATCGTAAATATCGTGTAAAATAAAATTATATGTTTAAATGCATTTTATAGTGTTACAAACAATCCTTTGACATTGCAAAAGAATGAGAGATTCAAATATATAAAAAGAAAGAAAAACCGGCTGGATTCCAGTATCCCAAGACAGAAAATATAGCAGGGCAGTATCTTGTAAAATATCGCTGGTTCAGACTCTCACGGGATCAAAATATCGTTGAATAGAATCGTATGCGGATAAAATATGGCACAGAATTTCGTACTGACCAAATGATCTAAATTAACAGAGACAAAATTGTTCGGGAACGAATCTTATGTGGGCAAAATCTCATCAGGTCACCCTGATCATCACGTGTGCAAAAAAACTTCATGGGCAGCATCTCGCAAGTACTAAATACCACGAGACAGAATACCTTGAAAACAAAATACTAGGGGTATTTGTTAAAGGATTTTACAGACGCAAGAGTTTATTTCTGTATAAAACATTAGTAAACTACAAAACGGATTATCAAGAGTTTCCGTACTCCAATTAGCTCATACACATGAAATCATTTTAAGAAGAAGAAATGCTTAAACCTAGCATAATTGAGAATTATATTCTTAAATAAAAACATTTTCTTTATTTAAGCAGTATATTATATACTGTATAAATAACCTTCATAACAACTATGATGAAATACATTTAACTACATATAAATATAAATAACAAATATTGTTAGGGCATCTCATGTGATTCAAGTTTCCTTATCAGAACTGAATAACAATGAATTAATTATGAAAAAAAAACATGAAAGGAAGCTCGCCGAGGTCGAGTTAATGATTTATTTACTTAACAGGTTGTCTGTAAAAAAAGTTTTTATTTTCTTCCTTTCCAGTATGTTTTCGCAATGCTTCACAAAATTAAACTTGTTTTTGCTATTTACTATATTCTCTTCCTATGCCAATTATGTTTTAAATTTATAACTAACTAATAGTAAAGAATAATTGTTAAAATAAGAATGAAAAAAATTTTTTTTAGTGATTGCTGTTTATTTTATTTATTTAGAGTGAGTATTCTTTTTATGCAGAAATTGGATTCGTCGTAAGAAGTCGAGTNTTTTTTTTTTTTTTTTTTTTTTTTTTTTTTTTTTTTTTGAACTGTCGTTGAAGAGGCAACCCAATTTTTGAGTTTTCGACTACTAATGTTCAACTTCGTAACCTTGCAATTTTGAACCCAATCCAGAAGGCAAGGGAACTCCTGGATCAAGTGTAGGAACTAACCCACATTTGCTTTACATGGAGAGAAAAACCACGAAAGCCTCCCATGGTTAGCCTGACGACTCATGACCGGTCTACCACTGAGGATATTTCATAGCAGCACTGTGGTCGGTGCAAGCCAGATGCGGAATTCGTATCGATCAGCCATCGCTGAGATTCGAACCCGGTTCATCTCATTGGAAGGCGAGTGCTCTATCCCCTGAGCCATCGCGGCTCAAGAAGTTAAATTTTTATTTTATCTTTTATAACCGTCGTTGAACAGTCGACACAATTTCATGGGCTTACGAATACTAATGTTCAACTCCGTAGCCTTGTAATTTTGAACCCAATCCAGAAGACAAGGGAACTCCTGGATCGAATATTGGGAAAAATTTTGCCTTCGTGGAGGACTTTTTCATGGAGCTAACCCGCATTTGCGTTACATAGAGAGGAAGACCACGAGAACCTCTCATGATTCACCTAACGGTAAAGAACTAGCCCATGATCCGTCTACCACTGAGGATATTTCACCTTAGCTCTGTGGTCGGTGCAAGCCGGATGCGGAATTCGTATCTACTTGGATTCGAACCCGGTTCGCCTCATTGGAAAGCGAACGCTCCCTGAGCCATCGCGGCTCAAGAAGTCGAATTTGAAAAAGCACAATTCTCCGTGGGACAATTCATCGCCTACAATTGCAGCGACGATTCGCCGTAGGCACTATTCGCCGCTAGCAAGGTCTGTCTCAGCAACAATTCGTGATACACACAATTCGTCGTGGCGACAATTTGACGAAATTACAAACCCCAATTCTTGCTTAAGTAAGAAATTTCAAACAGCCACACATTGTTTATTGCTTTTACTTTGACTGTAGTAAATTTAACTTTCTATGAAAATCAATTTATGTTTTGATTTATTTTATAAAATTATGAAAAGAATTTTTCTCTAAAAGATTTTTTGTTTTTCGTCGGTGTTCGAAAATCTTGACCTCTATCTAAAACTCGCTAAAGAATTTTTTTTTGCAACTTTTTCTTACCCAAAGTTTATTTTCTACTTTTTGAATACATAACGAATACAAAATTTTCCAAGTTTAATGTTTTTTTCAAATTTAACCCGTGAGTCTCATGTCGAATGGAGTTCTCTTGATAGCCGGACAGTAGATCATTATGAACGCAGCCCGTGCGTCTCATGTCCAGAGGAGTTCTCTTGATAGCCGGGCAGTAGATCATAATGAATACAGTCCATGAGTCTGATTTAGGTGGAGTTCTCGTGATAGATCAATAGATTAATATGAATACAATACAATATGAATACCTGCACTGCAATCACCGCAAGTGGCTTGTTTGTAGAGGGAGTACAGTTCCAGAAGCTCTGAATCTGAAGGCCGGCTTTTCATATCCTTCACGGAAGTGGCGGCAGTGTTGAATTTCTAAATAAATTAGAGAAATTTATTAAAAAATGGCAAATTCGGAAAACAACACTAGAAATTAAACAAGAGGGTACGTTTGATTGAATATTCCGTTTAATAACACTGAGTCGGACGTGGCTATGCAGCACCAAGTTCAATTTAACTTATAACAGGTAACAATGGTAACAAGGTAACAATGTCAAACGCTATGAAACTGCAGGCACAAAAACAAAAATTAGATGAATAACGATGTGATAAAAAAGATCATTCGTGATTGTGGAATTCGAACCCTAGAGGAAAGATACATAAAGTATTTTATTTGTAAGTAAATGTTTTTTTTTATTAATAAATTTGGTTCTATTATTAAAACTGCATTTTCATTTTTAAAAAAAAATTTAAAAAGAAAATTACTTAAATATGTTAACATTACCTTGTTCATATGTTAAATGGTTACAGATTACGAGTTTTTTATTTTAATTTGTTAAAGAAAACGTTACAGGTGTATTAATATCATTAGAGATTCATTGGAGAAAGTTTATTTTAATGCGAAATTCATTTACTGAAATAAAATTGAGGTAATTTTAACCCTTGAAAAACATTAAGCTAGCATAATGCAACTATTTTTACTCTATAAGAATTACCATTTTAATTAACTTTTTAATAATTTTTATTATTAATAAAACTTTAATATTATTAAAATCATTATAACAGTGCATTACTTAAATATGATAACATAACTTTATGAATATTTTTAAATCATTGTTGGATGAAAAGATATAAAAAAAGTTTTTTTTAATAAATTCGTTTGTATTACTAAAAAAACCATAATAAGTTTTTTTAAAGTTTGAAATTGCTTCAACGAATAAAATAAAAGCTTAATTTGTTATGAAGAAAGTTAGGGGTGTATCAATATTGTTATGGATTCATGAGAGAAAGTTTATTGTAAAGTAAAATTGATTTATTGTAAATACAAAAATTGAAATCATCTTTACCCTTTAAAAATATTAACACAATGCAACTATTTTTTAAATTACTTTTTTAAATAATTATTACTATTTTTAATTTAAATTACTATTTTTAATTGCATAATAATGATTGTTATTTTTAACTTATCACGTAAAAAAAACTGTTCTATATTTTTAACCTTCAGTTCAATTAAGAGTTAAGCAGCAGTTGGCTGATGTACCAAATTAATTTGGATGGTTGCTGAACCAATTTTAATTGGTTTAAGTACTCATCCGTAAACTTTAAAAAAATAGGTCGGATAAAAAATACGACCATCTAACGCTAACTTCCTCAATTTAATTTTAAAAAATAGAGATTCTTTAAAGATTATTTATTTTTTTGCATTCAGATAATATTTTTTTAGATATAATTGTAAGGAATTTTTCTATGTTTATTTATTATTATTTTTAGTTTTCTTTTTTCGCATTACGATCTAAATTTGTACTGTTTTCCGAACAAAACAGTTTTTAAATCCGTTTTTTTTTTTTTTTTTTTTTTTTTTTTTTTNATTTGCATTTAATAACAGTAAAAATTAACTTGGAGCTAAGAAGAGAGGCCAATGCAGTGAAGATATTTTCTCTAATGCGTTATGCTTTCGTTTATTTGATCCTTTCTTATGGAGCTTGTAGATTCATTGGGATCTGTAGTTAAATACACTGAATCTATGAATTCAATTATTTCCAAGCACATAAAATAAAATTTATGGCCTATTTTTTACCGTAGGGTAAAATTTTGAAAAATATCCTAACCACCTTGAGATAAAAGAAAAAAATGGGTCTTAAAAATTAAATTAATTGCAGTTAATTACCTCTAAATGGTTCCTTTCATAAATCAATCAAAATTTCAAAATTATTTTAGCATAAAAATACCAGAAAAACGCGGCCGTTTTACCGGAACAGATACGGAACAAAAAATATATTCCGCAATTTTTATTAATAAATTACCTTAAAATCACTAAAGTATTCTAATTAAGTTCATATTACTGTAAAAATTATGGTTTAATATTTTATGCTAAGTATGGATTTTACGATAAAACGGATTTTATGGAGGATGCACTTGGTTAGGTACTTCATGCGTATTTTTATCCGGAATTTTTTACAGTGTACAGAAGGTAAAATGAAAACGCATAAAGATAAAGGGGGATATTAATAAACTGTTACTAAATGGGGTATTAATAAAAGATTATTGATAAAATTATTTGTTAGTTAATATCAGTTATTAATTATAAATTAAATAAAACTTTAGTACTTATAAATCGATTCCAAGTGCAAATATTTTCAACAAGAGATAAGATAAGGATAAGCGATACTACTTTTTAATAAATGAAAAAAACGGAGAAAAAAATACTTGGTTGTGGTCAGGCAATACTTTTTTAGTTTATTCACTTTAACTATATTTGCTTTATTGACCGTAGTGACCACAGAGCTGTGGAGTGGGTTGTTGAAATGTTCTACTCCGGCACTGGACATTTCTCGGAACTCAACTCCGATTTAGATTCGATTAAAATTTTTACCGAATCCTTGGAAACTATTAATGTTAGAAAGTAAGTATTATAACCCATTTCCATATTTTGATTCGCACTTAGAGTTACTTGAATCAAACCTATTATTCATTATAGCATAATAGTTGAAAAAATAAATTAAAAAAATATATATTTGTACAGATTGTGGTATAATCAACATAGCACGTTCAAGTACCGAAATTTCTGCAGCGGTTAAAGTGAAGTTCCTGTATACCTGTCGAACCTATAAGCTACCAAACCTGAAGTGTAACCTAAAATGAACTGAACTGAATTTAAATCAATGAAATACAACTATTTTAAACGTTTGTCCTTTAGCTTTACACTTTTTCACTTTTCCTTATGTTCAACTTCCAGGATCCTGCTCGTGATTTTGTTGTTCAAATTTTAATAAAATTAAGTCTAAATTCGGCACTTTTCCTTTTTATCCTTGACTATTGATATATTTCAAATGCCGATAAAATAAGCGTAACCTAATCACGTCAAAAAACTATTGAAATTGAGTAAAACCATAACAAGGAAAAGCTAGATATGAATATCTTATACTACCACATCTATTAGCATTTTCTCACAGGAGGATTCTTCATCGAATATTCATGAGATAGAAAACTATTATAAGTTATTCATTCAATTCATTTACGTACCTTTTTAATTTAGCTCAAACTTTGTTTTGGAAGTTTTAAGTGAAAAACTCATTAATAATTCCCTTAATATCAATTTTTAAAGATTTCAAATTTTTTTTTTAATAGTTTAATAAAACGTAAGCTCAAATGTGATAAATATAAGTTTTGATAATTTACATAATTATCATTATGTTCTTTTAAGTAGTATTTTTGTTCACTTAATTATAAATATTAGTCTAACTAATTTTAGTAACATGAAAAACTTTTTTTTAAACATGTTGAAGTTAACTTTTAATTAACAGGAGTCGGAGTAAAAAAAAAAAATTTCTGACTCCAGCCAAATTTCCTTCAACTTCACAACCTTGATGTAAATGGTAATCATTTCCTGGTTCGAACGACTTTTTCTTTGCTGCAATACAATCAATTTATCTTCTCCGCGTTGAAAAAGAAATGCAAGTAGGAGAAAACATCACTACAAATCTTGAAGGGACTGTAATGATTAAGAAAATATGAATGCTAACATATCCTTAATCTTACTTTTTTTTATAACAAATAGACCTTTAGCTGTCTCTTTCTCGCTCTTTTTTATGCCTTAAGTTAAATTAAAAATTCAGTATAATGCAAATACAGGCATTAACACCATTTTTCATCGCCTTATTTATTTTTTTACGTAAATAATGCATGCTTTGAAAAATGTATGCAATTTTTTTTTGAAAAATGTATGCAGAAAGGGGCTGTTAAAGAAACTCTGTCGTAAAAGAAAGGAAAGCTAATTACATCTGTTTCATTTCAAACGTCAAACTCAATTTCATTAAAAAGAGCCGTGTTCTATATTAAATCTGAAAGGACACTAGAATTTATTAAGAATTACAAATACGAATTTCAATAACTGTTTTCGTATTAATTTCATAAGAAATGTATGCATATACTAGTATGTTTGAGTTATTATGGAAGACTTAATGTTTTTTGGAATTTTTCATGTGTTAATAGCTTTACTATAAAGATCGGAATCGTTATAAGTAATCAGAATACTAAATAATTGTTTGAAACTAATTTTTTTATTGTCATTGGAAAAAAATGAATGCTCAATTAACTTCGCAAATCAATGTTTAGGTAGTGATTGTAGGTGGCAAGTTTATTCCTACACACCTGCCGTAAGGGAAATTGAAACCAACAAAAATCTATTACTATCTTTCCAAGCAAATGCGCCAAAATTGCTTGCAGAAAATAAAATATTCAGCTAATCTCTGAGTTTTATCACGAGTCAGAAATTCAGCTAAATTGCAAGTTTAACCCAGACCACTTTGAATTTCCTGAAGATCAAAATCTACCATTATCAAAATCGGTAACGCATTTAAAATGCATCTCACAACTCACACTTATAATCTCTTAACGTATGCAAAAATCAGACGAAAGAACTTTTTGTAAAACAAGCAGCTTAACCCTTGGAAAATCGTTTTCAAATCGCACCAATCAGAAAATATTCTTCTCCTGAGGGAACAAACCCATATCTTGCGTGACGAGATTATTGCGTGATGAAAACGTCAAACGATATATATAAAAAAAGTAGATTTAAAGACCATAAAGGATATTTTTTTTTCTACTTGTTTCGACTTTAGAACATTTCGTTACAGAGCATATCCAACAGGATATGGGGTGGCGGGAAAAATATTTGGCGCGAATGATGCCAGCGGTCAATGGTCTGTTGGCGTGCCAGCATAAATCCTTCCCCTTTTCCACCTCATCGTAGAATCACAACTGCATTCCTATCTAGTGTAAGATAGCCAGTGTGGTCTGCAAAGGGCGTACGGTAAGGGCAAACCAGCGTAAAACCATTTTATTGTCCTTGAAAACTTTTCTCTTTTCTTGTCCGC